CTTTAAAGAGCCACACTAAAAAACAAACTCTATTATAAAGCAGGATCTCAAATCAACAGCAGATTGTATCCAGAAAATAGATGGTAATCTGAGGCTAGAGATAATGTTATATAAAAGCTGAAAAGTGTTATAAATTTAGTGTTTCATCATATTTGAAGCATTAAATCTGAATGATTAGAAAAATAACTCAGTAACTTGTATCTCAAATGATTTTATCTTGTTTGTGGTGTTGAGGTTCAGTATAAATGGCAGGAAAATTCATCAGTCAAAAAGAAATGGATTGTAACACTGAGAACTTCACGAATCGCTGCCCAAACCTTCATCTGTGTGCCAGGCCATGCAAGTGTTCAAGGGAATGAGCATGCAGATTATCTTGCAGACACTGCCGTTGCTGTTGCTGGTCTAGTACAGGACAGAAGCGATGCTATCAATGGCATGCACAGCACTTACCATGATGATGACCATGCCAAAGGGCATGACTCCATATCCCTGTCTAGGCTGATGGGCATTGGGGTGCAGCCTGGAGCTACAAGAAATTAAACATATATATGGTGTGTGTGTGTGTATATATATATATATAATATATATATATATTTATATATATATATATATATATATAATATATATATATATATATATATATCATCATCATCATCAGATGCCTTGCCGACTGTCGTGGGCGATCATGCCTCTCCATAATCTGCGATGTCCTGCAGCATGTATCAGTTCATGTGCCGACACACCTCCATGCCATGCAACAAGACTGTCAAGCATCTTCTCTCGTCTTCCTCTATCTCTCCTTCCACATATCTTTTCAGTGGTCACAACATGTTCTATTTTCCCTCTTCTCATAACATGGCCGAAAAATGATGACTGTCTCCTTCTGATGTCTGTGATAAGTTGTCTTCGGGCTCCCGCCTCTTTCAAAACCTCTTGGTTGCTCTTTTTGGCTGTCCAAGGTATTCTAAGCATTCTTCTGTAAAACCACATCTCCTAGGCCTCCAGAAATTGTTTGGCCTGCCTACCAATTGTCCAGGATTCACAGTCATATGTTAAAACTGGATGTATGTAGCACGCAATAATTCTTTTTCTAACTCTCAAGGATATATTGCACAAGATGTTTTTCATTTTAAAAAATGCAGTTTTTGCCTGTCCTATTCTATTTCTTATCTCAGTTATGCATCTTCCATCTGATGTTATCCATGTGCCCAGATACTTAAATTTCTGTACCTGTCCTAAAATAACACCATCAACTTTTATTACACACTTAGGAATAATTTGTTTCTTTGATACCACCATTTTTCTGTCTTCCCATTATTCAAACTGAGGCCCATTCTTCCACTTTCTAACACCACAATGTCTATCATTTCCAGTAGTTCTTTCTGACTTGTTGCTATCAAGACTGTGTCATAAGCATAATGTAAATTGTTTATATTGTGCCCACCAACCACAATTCCTGGCATACCAATTAAAGCTCTCATTATATATATATATATATATATATATATATATATATATATATATATATATATATATATATATATATATATATGTGTGTGTGTGTGTGTATATATGTATATATATATATATATATATATATATATATATATATATATATATATATATATATAATATATATATATATATATAATATATATATATATATATATATATATATATATATATATATGTGTGTGTGTGTGTGTGTGTGTGTATATATGTATATATATATATATATATATAGATATATATATATATATATATATATATATATATATATATATATATATATATATATATATATATATATATATATATATATATGTGTGTGTGTGTGTGTATATATGTATATATATATATATATATATATATATACATATATATATATATATATATATATATATATATATATATATATATATATATATATATGTATATATATATATATATTCAGTAGTTTTGTCATTACTCTCTGAACGGTTGGCTGTTCATACCATTGCCACAAAGTGGTCTGCTGTTATATCACTTTGTCACCTGCAGCTAGAAGTAATCCATGTAATTCAGAATTACGAAGTATGTGTCATAATGCCTAAGTCACGAATGCCGACTTGTGGACATGTATATCTATAAAATTACTAAGTCTGCCACCTGTGTTAAAGACAAGCAGGTGCACGATATGTAAGCTGTCTTTAACTGAGTATAAACACAAAAGATAATGTTAGAGAAAAGCTTTCTATTGTTGTTATGTTAATTTGTTGGTTCAGAACCATGATTTTTTACTCTCACAGGTGTCATTCATTGTGTAGCTTCTGAATCTGCATCAGTAAATCCATTCTGTCACGATGAAAGCCTTAATTCTTGTTGGTGGTTACGGCACCCGCCTTCGCCCTCTGACCCTTAGTATACCCAAGCCACTTGTTGAGTTTGGCAACAAACCTATGCTGTTTCATCAGCTTGAAGCTCTTGTAGATGTAAGTAGCCAACTTGTTTAACTTCAACAAATATTCTGACTCAAAAAACATCATAAATACATATGACTACTTATAAATGTATGAAATATGTGAAGTAACTGCGGCTTCCAGTATAAAGTTAATTGTGTATTCTTTACAAGACGTTTGCAAAACAAACCAAAGCATTTTTTGGCTGTTGTGGTTTTTCTATGCAAATTTTACATTCAGTAGTTGGCCACTGCTTTCTGAATGGTAAGCTCTTGGTACAAATGTTGAAACCAACGCAAGACAAGCCATTCGCAGCTGGGATCGAACCCGGCATTACGAAGCGCATTCACAACGCCTAAGCAACAGATGCTGACTTCCTGTATGCTATGACTTAATGTACAAAGTGTTATCACACTTGACATGTTGATTGGTGCACCTGCAGAATAGCCACTCACACATTGTATTTACTTAGGGCATGAGTTTAAGAACTGTTACTCAAAGAACTGTTACTTTCACTATGGGAATTTTTCAGAATGTCAAGCTATTTCATCATGGTAAAATATGCATTAGGGGATCATTGTGGTGCATTGGCTAGGGCCTGCCAACATGGTGGTCCTGTTTCAGATCCCTCTGGGATGAAGTTTTTGGTCGACCCATCTCAAAATGGGTACCATAAAATATTAGGGGTAAAGGCTGCCCTCGCCTCGTGATATTAACTGCATCGCTCATCTAGTGTCAAGTGGTCTAACAAATATTTGTGGGTTGCATCAAATACCTTTTACACTTCGAGGCCTGGGAAATCTTTTTTTTTTTTTAGAATCTTTTTTTTTCATAGTTTGCTAAAGTAGACTAGATAAGAAAGGAATAGCGTTTAAAATAATGTTGAAAAATGCACCTTGATGTTGATGTTTGACATTTCTAATGTGAAAGATGCTTTGATATGTTTGACACTGACAGATATATGGGTACTTTTTTTAAATATATTTAGGAAAGTCAAACCCTCTTCATGGTTCTTTGATTACAACAGGAACCTTATTATTGTTGTAGGGGTGTAAAGGTAGTCCAGTATCAAATACCACAGTTTGGGCGTGAAGTATTAGGCTTTCACACATCCTAGGCTGCAACATATGAGGTAGGATGGCCCTTTTCTTCCTGTCTGCCTTTCTTTCCCAGACAAATGCCAGAAATTGTATTTAGTGGGTGAGGGTAAAAGTTTGCACAATATGAAACAGAATAGTATGTATTTTGGTAATTGGCTATGCTATTTTGCGGAAAAGCGGTGGGGGGGGGGGGGGGAGGGGGTGCTAGATAGAGCATTTAAGTCGTCATAGCTTGGGTTAGCATAGCTGGTTTTATTGACTGGTTGGTTAACCTGCTAAAAGTGTTTTTGCTCTTAAATCTTTTCTTCTTCTGCATTTGTTGTCTAAAAGGCACTTAGCACCTTGTGTTTACAGCTAGGCTGTGATGTCTGTGCCTTTGGGCCCAAAACTTCAAGTTTTAGCAAATCCTTTATAATCACCTTTTGTAACCTGATTGTTACGGGGCAGCTTGTCTCTTGTTTGTCCTCCATTAAAACTGGGTCCTGAAACCCGCATTGGGGCCTCTTATACCTGATCCTTGGAGCTTAGGTATTTCGTTATAAAACATCTACAACCCATTACCTAGTGAAAAGTCAGTAGAGTATACGTTATCCAGGAATGGCAGGTTTTCTACAGAAAATACTCACTAAGCTGGTCTTTATGTATAGAATAAATGTTGGCATATTTCAGTAGAATGAATCAGTCATGCGTTAAAAAATGATGTATCTCATGACTGTTGCCTATCTTTGTATTCTGGCAAGATTTTGATGTGATTTGTGTACTTAATGTCATCTCAAAGGCTGGCGTGACACACATTGTGCTAGCTGTTAGCTACAGGGCTGAACAGATGGAGAAGGAGATGGAAAGTTTACAAAAACAGGTTTGTGCAATTTTCTGCATGAGAGGATGTGGGACAGTTGTGATGTCTGTGAGAAAAGAATATAGAAGAATTGCCTCTTGTTTATTCATTAAGGTAGAATTGGGTAGTATTTAGTCAGCAGGAACTGTATGACAACAAAAGCATTTTGTCTGGCCCCATCAGTGCAACTACAATGAAATGTTTGACTAAGTGTAATAGGCTAGTTTTTTTTTATGTAGATAATGTTGTATGGCCCACCAATTCAGTTATTAATATCCATATGGTCCTTTAGGACAAAAAGGAGAGTGATTATCTGCTGTTGTAAGAAAATGGGCAGTTTATGAGGCTTGGTTCACATAAGACATCTGAACCAATATTTTAGACTCCTGTCTCTATAATAGTAAATTTAATGATGTGAAGGTCAAGATCGGAAAATGTTATAACCAGGGAAAGGAACATATTATGGGGTATGTAGAGTAGCAAGTTTTACTGGATTATAAATTAAAATCACAAGGACAAAATTAAATTAATGAGGTATATCAGCAGAAAAGATTAATGAAAAAATAGCTGGCCTTTAATGGGAAATACTAGGCATGTTGAAATTTACAATCAACATCACAGCAATCTGGTCCCTGCTCTGAGTTCTCTGTCCCCCATCTTCAGCAGCAAGTGAAGAAAAATTCTAGGCAGAAGAGGCCGAAAAAGGCACATAAATATGTAAGTGGGAAACTTAAAACACTACGTGCCATTTGTTGGTCATATTGGGTTCACACTTGATTTCTTCATTCCATCGTGTGATGCGCAGTTATGTTTTCAGGAACTGGTACAACTAAGTGTGTCCCATGGTTTAAATGACTCTGTCTTCTATGAATATCAGTTAACATGTGTGAATTTATTTCTCATACTAGTTTATTGGCCTTGAATTTTTTCTAGCCGTATATCTGTACCAGTTACATATGTATTTGACATGAACTTAAACCATACAGTGAGTTATCTGACTTTTCTTTTAAATTCTTCACAGCTTGGGGTTAAAATCTCAATTTCTCTGGAAAATGAACCATTAGGAACTGGTATGTTTGTCAATTATTATTTATCTGTCTGTCTATTTCTCTATATCCTTTCTCTCTCTCTCTCCTTCCCTTCCTTCCACACTCGTTCTCTCCACTCCATCTGCTCCCTTTCTTTTTGCCTCTACCTCTTTTCCCCACTCCCCTACCTCCCTCTCCCCTGCACAAGCCTCACTTATATACACACTAAATATGCTTTGATATTTGTCAAACTAGCAGATCCACTGTGTGTTAAAACTGTAGGTGTTCTTACATGTTGTACAATGATTGTAGTGATTTAATTTACTAAAGATGTATTGTTTGAAATAAAGAGAAAGATGCATATGTTAATCTCACTTCCTGACAGTTATTCAACCGTGACCTAAACATTAAAGAAAACTTAAACAAGTCAGCCATATTACATGCTTCAGTGATTTCAAAAGAAAAAAAATGGGAGACATTCGTCCAGAAAGAAGTAACAGGGATCCACCAGCATGAACATGGGATATTGAAAACCCTTGGGCATGAAATAATCTGTGGCAGGAGAATTTGTGGAAAAAGGGGGGGGGGGTGAAAGGGTTGGGTTGTGGTGGGGGCAACATTCTACAAAATCATAGTTGTGATGACAGTTCATCCCACATTTATCCCTAAGCCTTTTATTGCTGAGCTGGAGACTAGCAAAGCTTTAGAAGTAAAACAGCCTTAGAATAACTGCTGGGTCTGTTATGTGCTGGCTATGGGCACGCAGGCTTATCTAACCATCTGCCCTTCCACTCCACTCCTTGCATATTGTTATTCATTCGTACATCATTTCATAGTTAATCATAGTATGTATCCATGTATGTAAGTGAGTGGGTGGGCGTGTCTGGTAGTCTTAGTTTCAGCTTCATAGCATATGGGTCACCCCATCTTTGCTCCGCTCCTGTGCCAACGAAAAACACACAGAATGTTTATCACAGTCCCTTGTGGAAAGATTGACAGACTGCTGTCTCAGCATATCAAGCAGACACACACATTAAAGCATAGGGTAGCCATCCTAAGTGCTAACACAAACAATCCGACATTAGAAATGCTGTTCATCATTGATGGTAGCAGAAGTCACCAACAGATCAGCAGTTGCACACGCGATCAATTTTAATCACATGCAGGCACCACCAACATTGCGATGACAGGCATCGCGCCATTTTCTGAATCTATAATTCACAACACCAGTTTGGTCACAGTAGAAAAACATTCCAAATGAAATCTGCAGCTCACAGTGTCACGCCATGCATTCACCTCAGAAGATGGTTGACGAAACTATATCAAGTCTACAAATGGAGCAAAAATGCATCGGCCACCATCTGGCCGAAACAAAAAATTTGCCTCGGCTCCAAACAGTGCCCCATGCCAAGCGTCCATTTAGACTGGAAGTGTATGCGCATGTATTTTACAACCCATGCTTTTGTGTTCTTTCGTGATATTCATAATGTGTATATCATCATATGATCATAACATGCTTTGTTGGTAAAATTACAACAGCTGTGAGAAAGATGGGTGATTTGAAGGGCCGAATGTAAGACGGGCTTGCGTGCCCAATTTGTGACCATTTTAAAATAAAGTATGTTCTTTTTTTATGGGTTGATCCACTTGAGTAATGATGGGCAAACATGAAACATGGAACGATGACTGCATCAGCCAGCACAAGCATAACCTGTGGTAAAACTACTGAACGTAAAACTGCAGCAAACAACCAATAAATGCTGTGGTTGGTTTGCAACACTGTAAAAGATTATGCAACTAACATAACCTGCTTATAATATGACATGCTGCTGTTTATTTTTTTATTATTTTAAAACTTATGTAGGATAGAAAGGAATATTAAATTAACATCGGAAAACATGCAGCAAAGCATACAAATTAATGGAGGATAATAGGAATTACGTTAGCAACGTACAGCATAAAGACCATACATAATTTATTTCATTATGACAGTGAGATGATGTTTAAGATAGAAAGTATATTTTGAAGTTTTCTTGAATAAGATAAGATATTGCAAAGATTGTTCTGTTTCTTATGGAATATTAACTGTGCTCTTTTTCTTCTGGAACAAAGCTGGTCCTCTAGCACTTGCTAGGGATATCCTTTGCCAAGACGATGCTCCATTCTTTGTCCTGAACAGCGACATCATCTGTGATTTCCCATTTAAAAACATGGTTTTGTTTCATAAAAATCATGGCAAGGAAGGAACAATAGTTGTAAGTTCTTTTTAACAGTTTGTGTGTGTGTGGGTCAAAAGGCTGATTATATTTAATATGCCAATTAAATTCTAATTTTGGTTTTATTTTTTCCCTGCACACCATAGTGTTGCAATGATTTTTATTATCTGTGGTTTTGACATTTATTGTTCAAATATTAAAGTGATAGTTGTTTGAAATTATAATAAACTCTTATTTGATCATCAAACAGAAACCAAAACAGATTGTACAATTTATTGCCATATTTGGATGAATCTTAAGTAACAACTGTTACTTTAGTAAAATAAGATAAAGCAAATAACTGAAATATGAAATTCTAACACATTCGAAATGTAACTGCCTATTTTACTAAGATAACTGCAAGTTCACAACCATGTCCTTTTGTCTCAATAAATCAATCAGCATGTCCTTTATCGAATGTTACTCTCTTCAAGGCACACCTGAAAGTTTCACTTTCTCTAACCAGTTCTCCAGCCCTGTGTGCTTTCCTATTCAGTGCATCTTCAGTGTCCTGTATCCACCTTCACGGAGCTCGGCCTTGGCTTCATGTTCTGGAAACTGCACCCTCCTTCAGCACTCTTTCCAGACCATCCATGGCACTTGACATGTCCAAAATAGCCCTAACTTTCAGGAGAAGATGCTTTTTATGTATTTTTTGTCTACACCTAGTAAAATCACAAATGGTCAGTAAAGGCTGGGATTATGTTATGTTATCACAGTCGACGTCACTGCACTTTGGGTATTCCCATGTGTGCTCAGTCCTCCAATGCAGCAACCATTCTGGGGTATTTCTACTAATAATTCCCAAAAGAGAGTGATTATAATGTCTCCTATCTTGGCCTCGAAGGTGGCATAGACATGCTATCCAGTTGTCACAACATGTTCCAAGATTATCCCTAGCCCAGTCCGTCCAATGTGACCAAAAAATGCTCTGTCAATCTCCTTCTGATGTTTTGGTGAAAGTTGCCAGTTGGTCTCTGATTTACCCTTCCAGCATCTCTTAACAAAAATCATCATCTGGGCCTTGCTCACGTAGCTGATCCTGTGACAATTTCTAAGCAGCTGTATTTCATATGTAAAACCACATCTCTGAGGCCTCAAGATATTGTTCGGCTTCTTTATTAACTGTCCAGGATTCACAGCCATATATTAAAACTGGCTCTGTATACAATTCTGAATACAACATAATTAAATGTGTTTTTTTTTCAAGTATCCTGTAAGTTGTTAAAGCTGCTCGTCATAACAAACATCTGTCAGCTTACAAAGCTGTTAAAGTGCAACATAACAATTATTTGTCAGGTTAAAAAACATAAACTGCAACATAACATTCTTTGTCAGGTTTACAAAAAGTTAAACTGCAACATAACAAAAATTGGTCAGGTTACAAAAGTTAAACAAAAATAATAACAATTCTTTGTCAGGTTACAAAAGTTAAACTGCAACATAACAATTCTTTGTCAGGTTACAAAAGTTAAACTGCAACATAACAATTCTTTGTCAGGTTACAAAAGTTAAACTGCAACATAACAATTCTTTGTCAGGTTACAAAAGTTAAACTGCAACATAACAATTCTTTGTCAGGTTACAAAAGTGGATGAGCCATCCAAATATGGTGTGGTGGTGTATGGTGCTGAGACTGGCCAGATACATCAGTTTGTAGAGAAGCCTCAGGAGTATGTGTCCAACAAAATCAATGCAGGCATGTACATCTTCAGCCCGTCTGTGCTGCAGAGGATAAAGGTTAGTAGTGTTTTCTTCTGCAGTTAGATGTAGTACACTGAGGAAATCCTGAGACCACATGAGAAACATTATTTACTCTTTCTAATCATTTGTTTATTGGGTAGTCCAAAACAGTATCTTTTAGTCAAGAACAATATGATTTAGTCCACGCGGCGTGGATTGGGGCTAAACTAGATGGCTGGGACTCACGAGCAGCAGCTACCGCATCTCCTGCAGCTTCCTTTATTTAATTTGCTCCATAGCCATATACTTCAGTCCCCATTCACGATGCTTTAGCCAAAGTCGCCGAAAGTTCGCAATTCGGTGGTGCTTTATAGTCCCCAGTATGTGCGCAAAAACAGTAACTGAGGCCCTGTTACAGTATATTTTCCTCCTCGATAATTTCTCTCCGTTATCTCTAGGATCTCTCTCTCTCTCTCTCTCCAAAACTCTGCTTTAGTCCAAAACAGTATGCTTTAGTCCAAAACAGTATGCTTCTCTCTCTCTTGCTATCGCTTTCTCTACAGGTGCACCCATGCATAATAAATTATATTTCACTCATATACACATAACTGTTATAAAAGGGAACAATTGTGACCATTTTTAAGTGCCTCAGATGACTGAGAAAATTTAATGGCTCAAGTAAGAATAGGTTTAGGTCATATGCGTTTGAGTGTGGGAAAGGTATCTGGGTGTATATGTTCATTCTTTGTATTTCATAGCTGCAGCCAACTTCGATAGAAAAAGAAGTGTTCCCATGTATGGCTGAGGATGGGCAGCTCTTTGCCATGGAGTTACAAGGTTTGTAGTAAGAATGTTTTTTTTTAAATTAATGAATATTTTTGCTTTTACAAGATTTATATGATTGGCTGAGAGACAAGGTCAGGTTCCCAACCACCAGCTAGGAAAAAGACTCAATCACTTACTGTTCCCATTAATGTAAGTTAAACTGAAGCATTCATCATCATCATCATTGTCTTGTGCCATTATATGTCACATAGGGCTCACAGTTCTATTCTTACTTTCCATTCTCACCTGTGCAACCCCTTTGATATTATGGATGGAATCTGGTCCAGCACCTTTGGCCTCTCTCATCCATATTTTTTTTTTTTGGGGGGGGGGGGTTTTTTTTAGATGTCCTTGCTTCCTCAGTCTCTTTTTTTTTCTCCCTATTTTAATGCCTGTTTGGTGATTGCTCATTTCTTCTCAGTATATGTCCAATATAACACTTTCTTCTCAGTATATGTCCAATATAACACTTTCTTCTCAGTATATGTCCAATATAACACTATCTGCTCAAGTATTGGCCACTACAAATTAAACAACAGGCTGGCTAAATTAGTGAGAAAGCAGAAGAATGCTGCTTGGAAATGGTTCGAGACTACTGATGAGAGTGAAGAGGAGAGCTTGCACAGGGTCTGTCAGCATAGTGGTCTCTGTTGAGCAGAATGGTTGAGGGCAACCAAAGGAAAATGTAGATGGCATATGAAGGATAATTCAGTGGCCAAAGTCTGGCATCCTCAGCATCAATAATGAGGGCAAACTAGAGGATCATCTGATAAAAGCATAGTTAGTAATTTCAATATTACTGAAATGTCCCAACACTAAGCCTGAGAAGGGAGATGGAAGCAGTTATGGCAGCTTTTCAGTAGCTGGAGAGTAGTACAGTGTGACATACAATTGTAATTGACTCCTACAGCTTGCTTAAAAAAAAAATAGAGACTGGTGCCCAACACATAAAGTGGTTTGCATTTCATAAGATGCAGATCAGAAGCATACCATGATTTTCCTGCCCAAGATATTCATGTGTGAGGTAGCGAGCAGGCTGATAGATTGGCTCCTGCTGATCCTGGGAATGATGAGCTAGATCATGATAAAGTGGTTGTGGTGAAGGCTATTCATGATCAAGTGGACAGTGCAGAGAAACAGATATAGTATCCATACCTTGAAATAGTGATTCAACTAGGTGTAGGCAGTGTCTAATGGTTTTCATTATGCATTCTATCTTTTTTTTTTTTTAACGATGTATACTATACTTCAGTTAATTCTGTTTGCCATTAAACATTGTTCCCAGTGCCATGATTGGTACATTTGCTGTAAGACAACATCTGCTGTATGCTATCCAACATTAATTCTATATGTATACTATAATTACCACAGGTTTTTGGATGGATGTAGGGCAGCCTAAGGACTTTTTGACTGGAATGTGTATGTATCTGACATCGCTCAAACAGAAACAGCCTGAGAAACTTCACCAAGGTCCAGACATTGTGGGAAATGTCCTAATTGTGAGCAGAATTTAGCTTAGCTATTTTTTTTTTTTTTTTTTGGCTGTGTTGTAATATTCACTACTCTTTTTGTTTCCAGTGCTAGTTTAATTGTCTAAGCACTGTTGCGTGCTAAAATTCACTGGGCTGGTCAGAGTTGTGATAGTCTATGCCAGTCGAAGCAGCACAGATGATGATGGTAACAGAGACATGGGCAAAAGGGGTCCATGTGGCTTGAGATGAGAGACGAGTGCAAAGATTCATTATGTGCACGCATTCGTGAAAGAGTTGTTCCTAGAGATTCACAGACAACAATGACTTGCACGCGCTTAGCGAGAACCTTGCGGGGCTCGGAGAAGGAGCTAAATGGCGACCATGGGTCATGAGTTCAGTGCCTCTCAGCAAGTCAGAACATGCGGAACGCATGGTCCGATGTCTGCAAATTCATGTCCAGATGTTTGTGATTTTTTTAGCAGTAATTATGTGTATTATTTTAGTTCAGTGAAAGTGGATCTTGTGCATTAGAACTTTGGTGTATGATTCGAAATGCTCCCACTGTGTGGATTCTGTGATAAAAGGCCCAACATGTTATTTACCGCAAGGCCGACAGAAGTCGAATGATGGCTTGTAGCGTAATCGCAAGGGATTGTGTATCGTCTCGTGAGGATTCTCTATGATTTTGATGCGCAGTTCAGTGTGTACTGATGAGACAGTTTATCGAGGAACTGGTGGATGATGTGCAGGTTCAGTGTGTGCTGATGCGACCGTGTATCGAGAGACTAGAAGGCTGAGGCCGAGTCTCTAACCAGTTATCAGGTATCGGTTAGGGTGACCCGAAGTGAGGGCCCACAACCGAGAAGAATCTATCTTGGGTGATGACGCGAGGAGGCGTAGAATCACTATGGAAACAAGACAGCAAGGAGAATGTTGTGGGCGCCCACCAGGTCAAGATGAGTGTTGCTCTTTCATGTGACACCGCCTTGGTATGAATGTGGGAATGAATATGCTTTGTACAAGATTTTTCTGTTAATCGGGATTGTCTTATTCTTCCCTTGCTGGCCTGAGTAATTTCTTCTCCTAATTGTTCTTCTTGTTCAGCATTCTGGGCCCATAAGGTACATTGCTACAGATACCATCTGCCTCCATTCATGTCTGTGATTGGCCTTCTCTTTCCAGTTGGTGATCCCAGATACTAGTTGGTCTGCCTTTATATTATCACACTGTAATATTTAGTAACACAGGTGAATACATTTATCTAATATTGCATTATTTTATGATTGCAGGACCCAAGTGCAAAGATTGGCAATAATTGCAGAATTGGTCCCAATGTTACAATTGGTCCAAATGTTGTTATAGAGGATGGAGTTTGTATAAAAAGATGTACAGTCCTCAGTGAAGCTCATATCAAGTCTCATTCTTGGCTGGAATCTTGCATCATAGGATGGAGATGTGTGGTAGGAAACTGGGTGAGTTTTTGTCTTGTCCTTCCCATGTGAGTTCTGGTCCCCATTTTTTTCGGAGGGAAAAGAATTGATCCATTGTTCCTTAACAGGATGTTGTGAAAAGTGACAGATTAAGAATTTGCTGAAATCTCATATGTATGTTGGACCAACAGGCACATATATCTAGCTGTAAACCACAGCACATATGCCAACCACCCTTTTAAGGGCGAACACAGTTTTGTCCCAGGTTATACTTGTTTTTGTTGCACTAGTAATGATTACATGTTGAGTATTTCTCCATGGCTGCTGAGACTTATCAATCAGTAACTGCATGAAATATTTGGCTTTCTCTTAGGGGGTACTATTTTGGCTACTTCTGGTTAGAAACTTGGTGTGAAGATGACAGCATGGAGACACTTGTCCATAGTACATTAGTGAGCCATGGCTATAGAATCAGTGCCAGAGACCTAGTGACTTGGTTTTGTTCAGAAAATGCTATAAGAAGGAAACAACATAATGTACTAGATGGTGTCCACACTTTTTAGGGCATAATGGCATGTCAGATAACAGCACAGTAGTAGGGTGGTACATAAAATCTAGGTCATGACAGATGAGGTCTATGAGGAGACATAAACATCTAAACCATCTTGCAAGGACATTGCTGGTACAACGCCACCAGAGTTACCTACATGCAGTTTTGGTTATTTTCGCCCAAGTGTATTTTCAAGACTGTTGCCTATCACTTTGCAGTATGCCAGAGGCAGCATATAAATTGTCAGCATTGTTCGTCTTAGGCAGTATTTCAACCCTGGCAGGGCCCCCCACTCCTCTCCAGATGCCCATTTTCCCCATTAGCTTGTATCCCCAACGTTACATAGTTTCCAGTCTGCTCAACAGGGAGCTGGAGTTGGCTTGTATGATCACGGGACAGCAACAGGCCACTAATTTTCACTTTTCACCCTCCTAAAAAAGCCAGCTGCCCCCAACACAATTTATTAGGGAATTAGTCCATCACATCTGACCACCAAAGGTCACGGAAGCCGATCAACAGCAACAGATGACCCAACGACACGCAGTGTTACGGGATGAGGATGATATGTGAATTCCTGATCCAAATTAATCAAAATGAAGTATTATTTTTCATGCAACTACACAGTTTTCATTTATCACTTCAGCGAGATGGACACATTTGTCTTCAAACATGGATAAAAGCACTTAGGTGGTTTCGGTTTATGGCCAATGATGGGATCATGAATGGATATGTGCTGTGAAATGTATTGTGGTTTACTTCGGTTATGTTTGCCAGTGACATAATCTATGTTTATTGTCTTCTGGCAGATGTTCCTCAGTAATATTTCTTACATGTATGTCTTTTCTAATGTGTGCTGTATGATGCTCTTCCACAGGTGCGGATGGAGAACGTTTCTGTTTTAGGCGAGGATGTGATTGTTAAAGATGAACTTTATATCAACGGAGGCAGAATTCTGCCACACAAATCTATAGGAGAATCAGTGCCAGATCCTCAAATTATCATGTAGCTGAAAATGGAGAGAGAGGGTGTATGGTGGGTGTTCTTTGCTTGCGATCCTGCAGATGGTGTTTTTAATGTAAATTATAGTGCATCAGTATATTGGCCATGTGGGTTTTGTTTTGGTTTCACTTTATGAGACAAGAGGGATGTATATCCAACAAACAAATTTTCAGGTGATTTATTTGTATATAATGGTTGGAATCATAATTCTCTTTTTAAATTGCCTTTGTTGTGTTTAAACATGTTTATGTATCAAATGTAAGGTACAGGACTCTGTCTTTTCAGGTAAGGGTAAAAACAATGGGAGGTCCTGTCAGTGTCCCCCCCCCCCCCCCCCCCCCCCAATCATAAACTAGATATGCTCACTTTACCTTCATTCCCTACCTGCACAGAACACTATGGTAGTGTTTGGAGTAGCCATTGCAAGTAGCCCTAATTACAATTCCACTGGGTCACAGCATTATCAAAACTTCAAGTGGCAGCTCAAAAGAAAGGAACAGTCAACCAGGCCACATGGTTACTACTGCTATTTGTTTCAGCAGAATGTTCATACTACTGATTAACTCTACCAGACCTGAGGCTGGGAACTTAACTGTCCCCTATACCTGGGCTCCTGTGCATTCAAGCTAAAAAAAAACCAGCATGATATACAAAAATATTAGTTAAATACAAACAAGTGGTTTGAATAAGATGAAACCTGGAGACATTGTAGAAAATAGGTTTACCTTACATTTCATCACTGAAATTCAGATATGTATTTGATAATACTAAATTCCTTGTCCAAACTTCATCACCACCTAGATCTCCCCCATCAGCTGTCTGAGGGACACCCCCCCCCCCCCCCTTATCTTCTCTCGATCCAGCTCTATAAGTTTCAAGATCATCACTTAAGCTCTCAGTCTGTGTCACTTGAACTGGAAACGTATTCTTTTTAAAATTCTGACTCCTCAGAAACTGAATCAACCAAAGTATTGATCACCTGTTGGACTGGGAAAAGTCTTGAGCCACTTTGCTTTCCTGCTGAAGTGCTTGGTTCATCAGCTGCTTCATTCTGAATTTTCAGAATTTCGTCACGTTAAATACAAAGTCAATCAAAATACATGGAGGCAGCCATTTGCAGTGACTAACCATGAGGTTTGACCACACATGTTTGGTTATTTTTAATTTGTGACGCAATTTTGTTCATGTAGTAAGCAAAGTACCGAAAATTTGGTGCAGCTGTTTAGCGGCAGATCAGGAAATTCCCGGAAAAGCGGTGCAGCCGTCTGGTAGAGTTAAAATATAGTTTATCACCTTTGTCCAGGCAATGTAATTACCTTTAATGTTATAAATGCTATTTAAAAATTGTTCAGTCCAGATGATTGTGTAAATATGTGAGAGGGTGAATTACATTGCCATATATGATGCCTTTTTATAACCTTTGAAATTATGTATGACATACTTTTATCTTTTGTACGTTAATTGTTGCTGCTAAAAGTCTTTAAATGTCTTTGTATGTACACAGTCGTTAGTTAACTGTAAAATGGATTTCAGTGCGCAGTGATTACTTACAGAACAAGACACAATGTTAGATACAACCTCAAGCCAGTGTTGTACATTTACTTAAAAGCAGTGAGAATACAAAGTCAATGATGCTCCTGACTGCTGGATCATCTTTATATGATCTCTGTGGTCATATTTTTTATTTAATATATTTTTATGGTTTTGAGTATGTATGCTATACTCACCAGGTTTTTGGTATAAATCAACATTTATTGTGTCTGTGATGCTTTTTGTCTTCTCAAATAAACATAGGTATCCAACTAACTTTACTTATTTATATAAAATAGAGTAGTATATTTATATTATATATACTCTTGTGCGCCCCCCACCCCTCCAGTCTCTGAACAGCAACAAGTTATGAGTTATTTGATTCTATGAGTTCTAATGAGTTATTTAATTCTAAAACAAATAGATGCCATATGTTGTGTTCACTAATAACTTTGAGTCACTGAGCAAGTAGCGAATAAGTATAGAGCTTTGTGATGGGCACATGTTACACACCGCTACAAGAATGCTGCTGTGCCATTTTTTTTAGTCCATCACCACACAATTAGTAAAGATTAGAGGCTTTCATGCCAGTGCCAGAATCTTGTTGTCCAGCATAATTTGTAGCTTGCAACACAAATCTGCAAATATTTATCAGATGCCATTGATTTAGGCACCACAGCACCAGGGTGTAACCAGAGGGTGTCACCGGTACCATCAGTATTGGAACTCTGTGTTGGCTGCTGAAGATAAGGATGGAGCACATGTGGGAATGCCCCGAGTGCTGTGATGTCAGTTCTTGACTCAACTCAACTCAGGCTGTTTCATTGACAGTGTGTGTGTATGTTCTTGTCATCCATATTTTTATGATCGACTATGCAAGTGTGCATGCTGCTACTGCTTTGAATATTGTTTTCATTAGTTTCAAATCATTAACCACTGCTGTTATGAATTGTGGACATGTATTTTCAGTGATAAAGCTTATTAGAATTAATACATGTGGTTTTTGTTATATGCAAGAATGTTTATAACAAATACCTAACAGTCAAAATGAGTAATGAAGTTCTAAGGAAATAAAACACACAGAAGAACGTTATCACTAAAGAAAGTGGCTAACATTATTTGGCCTTGCCATAAGAAAAGACAAACTGGAAAACACTAAGGATTTAAGGACAAAAATAAAGCATATACTGTTACACTAGAAAGTCATACAAATAAAAGGGAAAAACCTAAAGTTTAAATTCCTCGGAGCCCACATATGTGATGGTGGCAGCTGTGCCAAAGAGATTGAGACAAGACTTGATATGGCAACAGCTATGATTTCTCAGCTGAATATGATGTTGAAGAGCAAAATCAGCATCGCAGTTAAGGCCACATACACAAATCACCGGTATTGTCTTTTTCTTATATGGAATTGAGAGTTATACTCTCACAGTGGAAATAAAAAGGAAAGGAGAATTTAGGCTTTTGAATATAAATGCTATAGATGCATTTTACAAATTAGTTATTTTGAACACAAAACTAACGAATTTTTAGAGACAAAATTAATAAATTTACAGGACATCAGGAGCCACTCTTGGCAGCAGTGAAACGTCACAACTTAGTTTGGTTCAAGCATGTGGTGAGACATGATTCAATTGCAAAGGCTGTACTTCAACGAATATTAGGGGTGGTCGTTAAAAAAAGGGCAGAGAAGAATCTGGAACGACAACATTAAGAAAGTGACAAGATTGGGTTATCATACACTTAATCAAGTGGAAGACAAAGAAAGATGGTGTGTTTTATGTGCTAATGCTTTCAACGATACACCTCCATGACCCTAACAGGTCAAGAGTTAGTTTATGTTAGAAAAGTCTAGCTTTATAGCATGGACAGATATATAAACTGATCAGCGGTGCAACAGGATATGTGGAGAGATGTGACTGCCAAGGCCTGCTGAAGTATCTATTTTCTAATCATAAACCATGAATATTGCATCAGTTGTCACTAGGTGTTTGAATGAAATGCATTTTATGTCTTTTTTAACCTTGAAGTGCCTCTTGGTTGCTCTTTTTTTTATTTCTAAAGTTGCCCTTAAAAGGGCTGTTGCATTTTGGTTTACAGAGAGAGTGCGATATCTTCACCTTTCAACTCACTCCAAAACATGGGTTTTGAATTGATGATGGACTAGCATGTCGTTAAAACAAATCACCCTTTCTCTAAAACAGAGCTGCAGATTATGCCAGCTCACTGCAGGGCAACAGTGATGAAGATCAAATGCTGCAAATTTTTTTTCCCCAGTCATTCCATATATAGTGATGTATACTACATTTACTACATAAAGCTACATTTACACTAAAGACTCCATGCTTTATAATTTGTGATCATTCTGGTGTCACATTCCATTTCCAAAGACCAAGAAAAGAAATACTATTTGATACCTCATTGCCCCTTTACTTATTTGTACTTTTTCTCGCGCAGTTTACTGATGATCAATTTAAACTGTGTAACTGCAAATGGCAAGCCCGACTGCCAAAATTCACACGAAATTCTCTTTTAGTTATCCATGTCCTGGTTGGTGGGTAAAGTTCCAGGATTTTCGTCAGTTTCCATAAAAATCCTGGTCGGCTACAAACCCTGGTACTACCTTTCCATTGTAGTAAATAAAGCAGAGAAAGATTATGCTGCCTGAGCAACCCATGATCTCTACAGAGCAGATCTTGCTAGCCATACTCACCACTGCTGTGATTTCCATGTTTAAAAAGTTGACTCTGGAGTGTCTCCTTATAAGTGTGCATCTGCCTTAGAGGCCTTCGCAAATGGCTGCCCTAACCTTCATCTTTGTGCCAGCTCATGCAGGTGTAAAAGGGAATGAGCATGCAGATCATCTTGCCAACACTGCAATTGAAGTGTCCAAAAAAAAATTCTACAGGGCTTAATAGAGAAGAGGCAGACCCTGATATGGAACTTGACTAGCTGGACAGGCCTGAGGTATACAACCATGATGTCCCTTGCATCTGACCATTAAAGGAGGACGGAGCTGATCAGACAGTCAACAGCAATGGCAACCAAACGACTGTAACCGGACAATGATGAATGGTTAATGAGTCAGTATCAGTTATTTTGTTATTATGAATGCAGTTTTTTGACAATGGAAAGAGTTTCTTGCAGTTCAGAAAACAATGGCACCCTGAATGTAAAATTCCTAGTAAAACCACAGAACTAATAAAGCCTGGTGTTGGTTCATGAAATCTTGAAAAGGATATCAAACTGTTTTAATGATCAGTGAGAAATCAAATATAACTTCAAGCCAAGCTTGTACATTTCCAGCCCCTAAAGGTTACATGACTGTTTTAATTGTGTAGATGCTCTGTTTTCTAGATACACAGCTGAAATTGTTCCCTTCTTGCAAGAACCTCACTGAAATCCAGACCGAATTATAATTTATCGGTGCCGGATATGAAAGCCCCCATGTGACAATATGTCCCTCAATCGTAACACTGATTCTCTTTTCATGACCATATGATTTGTAATGATGACTACTGCTAATAAATTTATGGTTAATTTATCCATTTGGTCTTCAGTGTTTCAGTGCTTGTTGAGTCTGCACAATCATGGATGTTTTCTGTTTTCAGAATGTAGTATTTGATTTGTTTAAACATTCATTTCATTCAAGTACAGACTGAATGCGAAAGTGAGTTATCTAGATAACTGGCTTTTATATATATGTGTGTGTGCGCCAATGCGTACATGTTTTGGCACCTTTCCGTCTTTGTAAATGATACAGTGTTCTCATACACACACACATATATATAGTATGTATATGGAACTATTTATGAATAGAGGAAGCAGGAAAAACTAAAATAATAGTCTTCTCTAATGGCTGTTGGAGACCAAAGGATGTGGAGAAGCATCTCACCCATGCCAGATAAGGCACTTGAATGATTTTCACATACCAAAGGCAGCATCCATGAAGTTATTAAGTTATAAAATTAAAGTCACTGTGGTATGGCATTGGTAGTTATGTCTATCCACAACCTTCTGTCGCATGTACTTTTAATCAACTCTGATACGGATGATCCTCCATAATGTCAAATTGTCCAGCATCTGTTCTCTCTGTATCCCTCTGCTCACCTCCAACTTTCCTACCGTCACGATGTACTCCAGTTCTCTCCTTATCAGATGACCAAAGAATGTAGGCTGTCTTTTTCTGATGTAGGCAAACAGTTCTTGTTGTGGGTCAGTTTCTTGCAAGACGTCTTCATTGCTCTTATCTGTCCTGGGCATTGTCATCATTCATCTATAAAACCACATCTCTGCAGCTTTTAAATAAGTTTTCACTAATTTACAAACTGTCCATGATTCACTTCTGTATATCAATTTAGCACTTATATAGCTTTTAAGAATCAAGCTGAAGAGATCACTTTATTACATTCTATCCTCAGGACAGGACATAACAAACTTGACAAGCATATGCAAAGGCTTCATCTAAGCAGTTCACCACTGTGCCCATGTTGGCTGTGTACAAACTGCAAAACATGTCCTGCAAGTGTGTCCCTTGTACAGCTAATTAAGAAGGGGATACTGGCTAAAGAAATCAACAACATACTGTTGTATAGAATTTAAAAGGGAACCACTTTAAAAGAGTAAATGTTATAAGAACTCAACCAGTGTACATCAGAGAGCGATCGCAAGAAAAAGAACTGCACCAAGTTTTGTAAATCCCAGATGACTGGAAAATGATGGGTAGCAAGCATACTTTGTATCTTTTCTCCAGGCTATGTCGGCATGGTGGGAAATGAACAGGCAGACAGACTGGCTGAATCTGCATCACTGGGTGGTGAACTGATACATAACAAGGCTCATGTGGTCAAGGCCTTTTGTGAGCAAGTTACAAGTTACAAAGTCGGAAGAAGAACTGGCTTATTACGGCCTGGAGAGAATGATACACACGGGTGTGACCTAATGGTCTGGCTGCCCTACAGCACTCAGAGAAAAGGCAAGGCAGAGAAATAGCCAGATTTTGACCCAGTACCATTAGTACTGGAACTCTGTGCTGGCTGCTGACATATGGGAACGCCCCGATTATTGCGATGTCAATTCTTCACTCAACTAACTCTAGTCTCTCTACACACAGTGGCTCATCTCCCGCTTAACATGATCCCAAGGGACCTCGGTAAAGGCTGCACTTACGAACTGAACAATGCATTTGGAATGAACCTCGGACCTTTCACTACTTAGATACGTGGCTTAACCAGGAAGACTTGAGTTATTCTACTATGTTTACAGAAAGCATAAAACCAATAAATACAAACAGTGGAGCATGGAGCATCTCAATATTTATTATGAAATCACTGTACAGTTGTTGCAAAGTCAGTCTCAAAATTGTAGCCTTCACCACCCAAACTGTCAAATGCTGACGACAATGCATCTGACAACTTCCCAGCAAGCGCATCTGTCAAAACATAAATGTACAGAAGGTTATATTCTTGACTACAAATACTTTGCTTAAAAATATACAGAAGACTGGGCCTTGGCTACAAATACTTAAACCCCCCCCCCCCCCCTCCCCCCCCCCCCCCCCCCCCCCTCTAGATATGTGAAAGAATATTTAGTGCATGATTCAGGCTTTACCAAAATATTGCTATATTCCCCAGGCTTCTTTCTGACAGTAATACTAGTATTAATTCCCAGTCTCTGATTACCAACACTAATTATAAGACCAGTATGATTCCCCAGATTCCTCCTATCCCCATTATTGTAACCATTTCCTAACCTCTTATTATTCACCCTGGAGAGGCTGCGTGGTCTCGAGATATAGTGTCCACTTTGTGTGCTAGAGGTCCCGGGTTCAGGCCTTGGTAAGGGCAAGGATTTTTGCACGTGGACATAGTAATTTTCCCTGGTCTCTGGGTAGTGAGATCGGATGCTCACTGTGTATTGTTACGCACGTACAAAAAATCCCTTGACCACTGGAAATCAAAAAGAGTTGCCTTACCATGTTGCCCAGGCAAAATTTGGAATTAAAAATCTACCCAAAAATATTTCAGGATCCTCACCAGTGCTGCGGAGCCCATGCACTGCGCTGAGCTACTTCGGACTCAGACTTAAGTTAGAAGTAGAACAGAGCACTTATGGGTTACTACCCGTGTGCCATGATGTTGATCCTTTGTTAAAACCTCAAACCTTATTATTCACTCTGTAATCATTCCCTAGACTATTCTCTCTAATACTAGTAAAATCTTCCAGCCTCTGATTACCCACAGTGCTTGCAATACCCATATGATTCCCCACACTCTTTATTCCCACTTACTGTATAATTTCCTGCACTGAACAATTTTTGGCTTAACTCTTTAGGTACCAAGCAATGCATCACATAGTCACTGCTTAGTTCAAGTATTTCAAAAAAATGTTTCTATCAGTATCACATACTGTTAATAAATTAACTCATTTTATCCAAAGTTTATGCTTTGCGCCTCCTGAATCTCACTGTCTGGACTCATTCAGACCCACATACTGGTAGTTTCACAGTAAAACTTCTGGTTATAGCAAGATTTAGAAAGAAATTAATTGGCTGGCACAGAGAGAATTAAACTGAGATGTAGCTGAATATTGCCATAAAAAGGACATTTCTAGAACACATGGAAGGCACTTTACCCCACTGTTGATATGCATCTAACTACCCAACCCTATTCTGATTCATGTATTCACATACCTTGACCCACCCCATACTTTGACTCATGTATCCACATACCTTGACCCCAGTACTGTTCTCATATTCTGACCCTGCATCTCTTTAACTCATTAATTTCAACCACTACCTGATTTCTCACCCAAACAACCATACTTAATCATCGTAGCACTTCTGTTTTGATAAAAGTTTGTCTTGCTTATTATACTATTTGTCACCAAGCTATTTATGCATATCATAACCCAAACAATGGGACAGTACATTATATCACAATGGCAGGGTGCCCAGTGTTGCTTTAGAGGTGTCTGGGATTTGCTGCTGTTTGATTCACATTTGACAAGTGGCTCTTTTAGTCACTGTGTGTCAAATCTCCATGCCTAAATGTAACAAAACAAAAAAAACTTTCCTTATGAAGTATGTTTGTTCAAGTTAACCCAAGGTCCCTTTTCCACACCTTCAGGCATTTTGAGCATAAAGTGCTCGACCTATATTTTATAGATCAATCAGCACTTTGGGGGTGGTGTGGTCACCATGGCACCACCTTTACTTCCCAGGACTCTGCCTGGTACACAAGCTCTTTATTTTTGAAAAAGTCAAGACTTCGCATTTGAACCCAGACCTTGGGATCTGCAGGTGGGCATCTATCTGCTACATACACCACAGCAGCTCCTAGTATGTGTGTTTGCAGGGATGAAATAAACATCAACAGAGCATAACAGCAATGTCCTGCAGAAGGATTCAACAGCAAAGTGCGCCTATGCTTACACAATAATAAAATATGTAGTGAAAAATTATGTGGAAGCTCCAATAATGTAGGGGTGGTGTTGACAACACCAAAGAAACATGACAAAGATGTTATGGTAATATTTTAAAAGAAATTAATTTACATCAGACAATCCACTTTCCTCAGACACATTTAAAAGATAAATATGATAACTAACACTATGAGGCATACAAGATCCTCTCCCTTTCTATGTTTAACATTAAAAAGGCTGTTGGCATGTTGTATTATGGTTTACAGCTAGAATGTGATATCTGAAGCTTTTAGCACAACACATCCAATTGTGGCACTCCATATCCCCCCCCCCCCCCCCCCCCCCACTTATGGAACCTAAGGTGAAACAGAAGATAAGTAAGAAGAAGGTAATATAATAAAAAAATCACTTGATCCAACCTGATTTCTTCCTTTTTTTCTTTTCCTTTTTATCAGCCAATTTCTTGCCCTTCTTTGTGGTTAGCCCGCCAAATTTCTCCAGCTGCACCTTAACAGGAGGACCTCGAGGTCGCCCCCCAACTGTGCTAAGAGGCTGATTTGCAGACTTCTGTTTCTTTCCAGCAGATATTGTAACCCCCTTCAACTGAAAGCATCAACATTACAATAACAGGTATAAGGTCTGCGCTATTAAAATTACTGAAATAATACAAAGAAAAAGTAAACAATTATGGGAACATGTTGCAGAGGTATACAGAATTACAATGTGAATATTAGTAACTGGTTTAACACTGTTACATTGTGCATACTGAGAAGTCAAATGGGTTGAACAGTTACAATGTGCATATTCCCCTTGTGGGTCCATGGTCTCTTACATTAGACCCACTGCCTTTCTAACAAACATGTAAGAGTCAACAAATCAGTGTTTCCTTCGAAGTCAGTCCATCTACCTAAGAGGCAAGGAACTAACAGTCTGCATACAAATAATCTGCATATTTAGAAGCCACCCATGTGTTGAAAAAACTATAAACAAATCACACAAAAGTGGGAGCAGAGCTGGCTGGCTAATCAAGAACACAATAATGTGTGTTTAAATAAATTATATGGTTTGAAAGCATCAGCATACAAAGACAATTGAACATATTTCTTATTCTTTGGCAGTTCAAGCCTTTGAGGTTCACTGCTGCAAATATCACCCACCTCCATTTATCCTTGACTGGATTTCTCTTCCCAGTTGGTGACTCCAGGTCTGTCTGTATATTATCTCTCTTCCCCAACCTTTATATGCTTCGAACCATCTTAGTCCATCAACCCTCAAGATGACAGTAATTAGTGGTGATTTGAAGAGATTATTAACATTACTGTTTATCACTCTTCATTCTCTGTTGTTTGCATCTTTGCTAGGTCTAAAAATTCATCATAAGAATGCCTTCAAAAGTGTGTAAAAGGGCTTTATCTCTTTTAGTTGCACTCCAAGTTTTAGGACCATATAAGACAACTAGTTTAATCAGTGTTTTATATATTATGATCTCGGTATTACAGTTAGTTGCGTATCCTTTACAGGATGTTGCAGAACCAACCCCAGCATTTTTGGGCTGTTGTGGTTTTGACATGAAAGTCTTTAGGCAGTGTACACCGTTCCTATAGCTTCTTCTTCTGTCTTTACTGGCTGCAACTAAGTGAAAAGTTCTGGTTGATTGGCAACTTCTTATCCTCGGAACCCACACAGTGACTATACTTATATAACGGTTTTTGTGCTGGCTTTAGGGCCTTTGTCTAGAAAAGAATTGCCTAAACTCACCACAAAGTGTATAAAAAATGTGCCAGTACTTTGGGCAAAGTGTCTAATTTACAGCTGAGACAAAATAAAAGATGTCTGGGGACAAAAGTGCCGGTACTGTGTACCACAGAAAAAGAAAAAATCTGGGCAGCGTTTCAAAGGATTATATGGATAAGTTTCTTTTTAATAAATTTTGAAGTTTCATTTTTTTTTTAAAGATTTTTATGACATGAAAGGGTGAAAGAGCGGATGAAAAGGTGAATGAGGATGCTGTAAAATGAAACTAATTAAGGGTTTGCTGAAACCTAGCTGTATGCCGCAATAAAGCACTCATTATTTTAGGGGCAAATGGAAAGGAAGAACCATAACTAACAAATTACAGAGCTTAGTTATTTCATACGCAGAGCACATCTAACTACTTACCTCTTTTTCTTCTTCTTCATCCTCCATGCTTTCATCTAAATCATCATCATCTACATCTTCCTCATCCTTCATGTCATCATCCTCTTTGTCTTCCAAATCTTCCTCTCTGACAACAGCTTTCAGAGGCCCAACGCTGGACACAAGCAATGGGCTGATGTTTTTCGTATGAAGTCCTGCATTATTAAAAAAGGGAAACATAAAAATCATAAAATCAGTGCTTTAAAAACAATGTGCAAAAAAAAAAAGGTAAAAGGCCCTTTTTGTGCCCCTGACCCTTCCGGTATTACTGGTTTAAGAATCGACATTACAGCACACCGGACATATACATAGGTGCTCCGTCTCCCACAGCAAATGGCTTTAGGTGTAGATGCTAACTGTTCCTGTAGCATAATGAATATAAACTGGTCATTCTCTTGTTCTATGTCCCCCCTTGCCAGATCCCAGCTACTTCACTGTTCACACATTCTTACACATGTTATTTCATCCAACCTTGTGTGTTCTGTCAGCAAATTGTTCACAAATGGTCTTCAGAATGTCTCCTTTGTCAAGTGTTCCTGTAGCCAGCAAATCCTTCATGTATACTTTACTAGACCCATATTTCTATGGAGATGACTATGGAAGTGATGGCACTAACAAAGGCAATGACCTGGCTAGAAACATATTTCTTTTCCCTCATGCATGCTTTCTAACTGATTCTATGAGCACAGAGATAGAGACAGGGTTGGCTGTAGTCTTTAAGGAAATCTTGTCTGACAGGAATATGTTTTATTTTTGTGCCAGGACACTGGAGTAAGGGGGAATTATTGAGTGGACTGGTCTGCTGGCACAACCTTGACAGGCACTGAAAAAGCAAAGGACTAAGCTGATGTTATTAAAGCTCTCAGGGAGGCAGGACAAGTAGATAATTCAGAAGATGACAATGAAGCGGCTAACTTGACAAGACCACAAGAAGGCCATGTCAAAAGAAGTGTCGCCAGATGTGAGTGAAAACTAACTACACATGTGCCCAGTGAAGCATGGTATGCCACCACAGAACTGATGTTATCAGTAGCCACATGCTGAGGGAGATACTAAAGGCGAGATCCAAACACACTATGGACGTGTCTGATATTTGGAAGCCACTGTCTTTTTTATTTTTTATCTGCAGATTCAACTCCCAGGCTGGCATTCAAGCCACTGTTCCCAATTCAACAATGTTGATAAATTATTTATGATAATACGGCCACATTTAACTTTACATTTTATCAGGAAAAAATTATATTCAAACATCATTCCCCCTCCCAAAATGTAATCAGTGTTAAAAAAACTGTAAAAATAGAGAAAATCACGAATTTATTGTAAGTTAAGATACACATTTTCCTGCTTCTTTACTATTCTGTGCCTGCCTCCATTTCTATCTCTGAACAGCCTTGTCTTTCGAGTTGTTTTGTGTATTTCTGGGCTCACCTATATAGTGTCTCTAAGCTGTCTTTTTGGTCTGTCATATTAAAATTATATTAAATATTGGAAATTTATAGGTCAGTAAAATAAATATTCTAAAAATATTAAATTACAGAGAATTTGAATTTGACTGGATGAGTGAATAAGCATAGAGGATGGTCTTGGTATATGTTCTATCTGCTTACACACATATTTACCCAGACATAAACACAGGCACAAACACACAATAATCCCTACCTGCCATTATCTTTGATTCATCTGCCATCAGCTCGTCAATGTTAAACTCCTTGCCCCACTCTGTGACTATCTTAGCTTCTATGTGGCTTGATGCCACTGTGTCCTCTGGCGGAGCAGTGTAGTATGTGATTTTTCCACTGCAGGAGATCAACAGAAACAAGCACAGTTAGTACCACGAAGAGTCAGGCAGTGAATAATTCAACACCAACTAGGGAGACTTATCCAACCAAATTATTGGGTGGTGAGTTCAGCAACCCATTCTGTAATTACTGTCTTTGCAGGCTGGGACACAGAAAGATTATCGACATCAAGGACATAGAGAAAGACTCAAGGAAAGCGGAGAAATAACAAATTATGAACACAGAAAAGGGCCCATAAAACTAACAATGAACTCTAGCACAATGACAATAGCTGACGCATATAAGGAATAGAATTAATATCTGAGACTGTGAATGCCACCATGCACATTACCTCAAGCAAAATTTCATTACATATGCATGATACTGAAAATATAAATGGAGAAAAGAAAGGGGAAAAAAAACTTGAGCTATCCTGTTCAAACATATAAAAATATAAGAGGACTCATAAATCCAACACAGGTTTTCTAAAGAATAAATAAAAACCTACTTGTTCCAATCCTGAAGCATAGTCCTAGCTGCCCTGCTAGTGTCCAACGTCCCGCCTTTCTTTAGCTTTCCCATTCTCTGGGCCAACAGAGAAAGAAACTCGGCTGTGTCTTCATAGTCAGGCAAGTTATAGTGCAGCATCATCTGATAAATACAAACATTGCATTTACCATTTGCATTTTTGAAGGGGAAAATCGCACACAGTTCATCACTATCAACTGCTATTGCCACACAGAACAGCAGATGTAATGAGCATCCACCACTTTTAACTTTTCAGTGTATTTATACAGATCTCTTTCAGCACATCTTTGATGGTGGCCACCCACTTACAACTGTTACTTCTTGCAAACACCCTTGGTTGGGAACATAAGGCCCCTGGGTCTTTTAGTTAAGGCATGCATAATCCTTTAGTCTGGTCCAGCCAAGATAAGCACCTGCAGCCAGGTCTTATTTCAATAAAGCTAAACTATACTGATTGAATGGTCACCTCCTGGCTGCTACCTGAAGGTTTATCACCTTGTCTGCAGGTACAGGGTAGACACCACATACCCCATTCAACCTACGAAGAAGTTTTATTTAGGGTGCATGTAAAGGCCACCCAGCCTAGTGTAACCTGCAACCCTGTGGGGATGTAAGGACATAAGTTAATCCTCGACCATTTGTTAAGCTGATAACTGTGTATGGCCTGTGAATGAAGTTATAATTACCCAAAAATGTCTTCGCAGAAGATCTTTTTAGGTGGTAAAAACACCACAATTCCAGTTTCTGTTTAAAAAAAACTTCCCCTGCTGCTGTTAGCCATAGCATCACAGAACAGGGTACTACTCATTTACTCTGACAACGGACACCTCTGTGATGACCGCTGCTGTTATCAATAGCATCACGGTGCAGGGTACTCATTTACCCTGAAAATCTAACAGATTGGCGAAGGTTGATGTGGAAAGCAAAGGAAGACTATGACATTAAATATCCCTAGAAACTCTTATTTAGGCTCATAAATTATTAATGGCAACTGTAAAAAAGCAGTCAGAAAAACAATTTGTTTTAGCATTGCCAAGGTGAAACAGCAATGAAGAATTTATTGCACGGCCCTTGCATGCAAGCTAAAGTAAATATTTCTAGACCATCTTTCCCGTGGCAACTTACTGATGTGAAGATAATTGGAGCTTTTGAACTGAAATGCTACAGATAAAATTCTTAGTAAATTGTGGACTACAAAAAAAAATATGTCAAAAAATCCTGCCTCACAAAAACATCCAAGGAAAACTGGCTCATAAACAGCTTCCCTCCTAAAAGCTGAGGTATTTTGGCCACATAAATCGCCAAGGTGGTCTGGAGGGTGTAGTTTCCAGAAAACAAGGCAGAGGCTGAACTCTGAGAATATAGACACAAGACACTGAAGATGCACCGGCTATAAAAGCAATGAGAACTGGCTAAAGAAAGAGATGGTCATAGGTGTGCAGTAAAGACAGTGATGTTTTTTCCGTAAAGGACTTTGAATGATTAAAAGTTAATCAATACATTAACATGCATGTTGTGGTGACAGTTTGTGTGTGCATGTCAAGGTGTGTGCAATTGTTTGATACTACAGTCATGTTTAATCATTTCTGCCATATCTGGTGCATCACTTGAAAAGTACATCTTGTTTTCTGTGGGTCACTGCATTAAAGTGGTCCAAGAATCATTTAGAAAAGTGTATGTGTTAACCATGAGAGCTACACAGATGTCACTCTGCATGTAGCTATAACATAGAAGATCACCTAATACTTGATTTTGCAGACAAAGGATCAGAACTGTTGACAGTTAACTTTTCCTTGTGGCCAGTGGCAACCATAAAAACAAGACGACATTAATTAATTCACAGTCAGTGTTGAAGAGAATCAGAATTTATACATATATTACTGTCTGCTTAGTAAAACAATACATATACAGGACTATTTAAAATAATGGATACATTTTTATTCATGTACACTTCCTTGAATATACATTTTTTATATTAATAATATATGTAAAAGAGAGAGAGGAGAGGGAAGTCTAAAGTTTACAAATCCCAAAAACAGGTTTTAGATGGCCACCATCTGCTACTTGGTAAATAAAATAAAAGTGGTAGCCAAACGCACCCCACACATGAAAAAGTTTTTCTTGTATAAGTGAGTTCACTGTAGCTGTGATACGGTTTTGAAGGCCAGCCAGAGTTTTTGGTACAGGTATTCGAAACATTAGTACTTCCCCTCTATTATTCATATGTAATGCATATTCAAGGAAATATTAATGAATGAAAGTGCATCAATCATTTTGAATAACCCTATATTTGGCTCCACAATGCAATGACACAGACTCTAATCTATACCCAATCAAAGCCCCTATGTGAATCTGCTTTATACTGTAAAAGTTCAGAAATCATATACAAAGAAACAAAATGTATATTCTCTAAAACAATATTCAATTTTAAGCAATACAAATGTGAATATACTTGATTTAGACTTTAATGTAATGGTTTTGGTTTTCAAACTAGAGGATTGACAACAATAAAAACCCATACCTGTGACTTCTGACATCTGGACAGAATTGCTTCGACACACGGAACTGGATCTTCTAGTGATTCTAACTGTTGACAGAAAAAGTGCCTAAACTTTAGTTTCATTAAAGTAAATAAAGCAGTATCTGAATGTAAAAAATCATCTTAAAATCAGAAGACACTGTGTTGGATAAAAAAAAATTAACACACAGATTTCTGAACTAAATACAAATTAAAACACACAAAAACGGAACCTCTGATAAGAATACTACAAAGGATTTCTGAAAGCAACTACTACTGCACCAAGTAAGTAATCATAAAACGATTACTGTTAATTTAAAACTCTATTTTCTGAACAGTTTCAATATTTGTTCATTAATTACACCATTTAACACGCACATGAAATATACTGGGCATAAAGTGCTTGTTCCATATTTTTTTAACAGACCATTTGGCATGCTATGTGTGATGTGGTAAATCACAGCCACATTTGATTTCCAGAACTTTTCCTGGTGCCCATTTATGGAGACAATTATAGCTATAGATTGCAATCTGTTTTTTTTTTAAGGCAGGGATTATTTTCAGAAAAGGAAAAAAAAGTTGTAAATACATCATACCAAATACGTAAAGGTAAACTACAACTGTTTAGCTGCAATTAGAACTACAATGACAATGTTTCCAATACTTGAGTTTACAGCAACTTTCACCAATACAAAAGTGTTACAAATTGAGATAAACTATCACTGAATTGTTCAGAAGAATTTGGCAAAGAAAATGGCAAATCTGAAAGATAAAAGATATCTAGAATTGTATTTCCAGATGGCTGACTCACCTTGACAACATTCCTCAGCACAGCTGCAACATCTGAAGGACTAGTGGACAACACTACACCAGGGCTGTCCAGGAGTTTGATGTGTTTGTCCAGCTGTATACTCTGCATTGTCCTGAGAGTATAAACGTCATCAAACAATAAAAAAAAATCACACAACTAAATCAACAATCCAAATGTGAGGAAAGCTCTGCAATTCTTTTTTGTTGTGTGTTTCTCCAACAGAATATGATATTTTTTTTATTTATTACATTTTTTTATGGTTGGTGGTGTAATAAAAATAATGGGTTTATTTTCCTAGCTACTTTTTTCTATTGTTGAGACACCGACAGCTGAGTGGATTGAGAATTGGTACAGTTAATGCCATTCTAATGGTATACATTACAATACAAATTCATAACTGAAAAACACACAAAATACTGACCTTTTTAAGTTTGTTTTTAAAACTAACACATAAAAAAAAATTAAAAGTGTATAGCAGACAATCAAAACATATGGGAACAACACAACAATGATTTTTGCTGGTAAAGTAAAAACAATATTATACCTTGTAATTCCAGGAACTGCTCCAACATCGCATGCTTTTGACCTTTTCAAACTGTTAATGATGCTACTTTTTCCAGTATTTGGAAATCCTGAAAAGCAAAAAAAGACAAGTGAAATACTTTGATCCCATTAACCTTTTCAGGCTCAATCAATGCAAGTGGTTGATCGTAATGTCTGAAACAATATTTACAATATTCAGAAAATTGTTCTCTAACTTTTTTACTTGTTTACAGTCAGTTAAAAATGTTTAGGTGCAAAATTATTAAATTCATTGAGAGCGTCATTTTCAGATGGTGAACTGGTGATTTCGTCTTTGACAGACCATGGACACCAATATTCATAGAACAAGTACAGGTCACAAAATGTGACTTTAGGCAGCTAAAGCTTTGAAACTGTTTCAGTAGAATGCTTTTAATTCTGGTGATTCTGATAATAAAAACTTAAATTATTTGGAAAATTATTCAGACAGTGAATTTACACCAACGGCAGCTGGGAGGTAAGCTGTTATTGTTAGAAAATTAACAATAAAGTTTTATTCTCAAATTTGGATATTCATTGCTCTTGTGGCTGTAGAACCATGCTAAGTGAAGAACTATTTTACAAAATGCTGTAAACATAATACAGGCTGAATTCTTTTTCTTTTACCAACTATAACAGCATTAAACACTAATATATCAATCCAATTCAAACTATACATTCATTCCTCTTTTTGAAAACAATTACATACTTGTAAAGGGATGAGAAATATTCTATATTCCCTTGTATTTTACGCCACCTGCTCTGTCATTTATATAAAGGGAAATTAAAGCTAGACAAGTATGTCAAAATGTGTGGGCCTATAGGAGTTAAAGGACATAAACTACACTGAAGGAAACAGCCACAAGCTTGCCAAACAGTGCAATCCCATTTGCTTCATTATGGCAGTATTATTCCTAACAAGCATCATCACACTGCACTGTTGTGTTGTTGAGATTTAAACATGCAGATTCAATGTGAAAACTGATACCAACTAATTATAGATGTGCAGAAAATTAGAAGAGTATATGGAGACAGAAAGATATAAATGCGGTATCAAATAACTCAAAAGAACCATTAAACAACATGAAATTTAGGCACATAAAAACGCAACAGTTAATGGCCACACATACCAACAACTCCAACATTGATTGCCATCTCTGTGGTACGGCAGTAGTTCTTCAGCAACTTCATCAACATATCTGCACCCAGGCAATGGCTAGACTTGACAAGATCCTCACTGGCAGTGAAGTAGTCCACTTTAGACTGGGTCTTTGGAAGAACAAACAAGTGAAATGGTTTCAGTGAGCAAGATATTGTGAAATAATATGGGCTCTCAGGTTGATCCAAGCTAACACTGGTAGCAAGATATGCCATGTGAAGCACATACACACAAAATGTTATCCTGTTATTTGATCTTCACCTTCCCCTGTGGGGGGTCCATTAGAAAAAAAGAATAGACTTACTGCACCCCTAGCAAGTAAAAGTTTACTAATTAGAGGTGTTTTTGTGTGTATCTGTCTGAGAGGCAAGGAACCAACAGTCAGCATAAAAACAAGCCAGATTTGTAAAATGGTTATGCAAATAATACAAACAAATTTAGATGTGACAGTAGACAACTGAGATGTTTTTTTAAGAAGAATGTTGAGAATACTGTGGACTGCCAGAATAATCAACATTAAATTCCTGTAAAACATTATGAGAAAAGGAGCAGTGGAAAATATTGTGATGACTGGAAAGATAACTGGTAGAAGATGCCGAGGCAAGAGAAATGATGGTGTATGGCTTAAGACAGCGGCATGAAGGAATATCATCAGCAGAACTGACCCATAACACCAAAGACCAAGTGGTGACAAATAAACGCCTATGCCAGGTGGCGAGGCATTTGATGATGAAATAATACAACACTGAACTCAAGAAGTAGATGAACAATCAGAACTTTCTACCAGTGAACACAAAAAAGATCAAAGCTCGCTCCTGCTCAAAACTTCAATACGCTGACATTACTTTTTGCTTTTTCTTTACAGATCTCCCACAATTCTTTTTTTATTCACCCCTATTCTTTCTATGGTTCTGTGTCTATGTTGTTTTTTATTCATCCCTAGTCTTTTTATGGTTCTGTGTGGGCTCAAAAAAATTTTTTAAAAATGTGTCCCCTATTAAATCATTACTAAGAACACTGAACGCTGTTTCTCGTTTGACTGACTACATTTGATTCAAATCACCTATCCAAAAAAGTGCATCATTTGTTGGGGGAAGAAAACAAGTGAAATACTTAAATTAACCATCCTGAAACTCCACCACTATAAAGCTGATAATACTTAGACAATGTATCTATTCTTATGGATACTCACAAGATGATCCCTCTGCTGCTGTGTTGAAGCCTTGAATGCAATAGCTGGTAGTTCCTTTCTCAGATGTTTCAGCCAGGCTTCAACATTCTCTTTAGGGACAAGATCTGAAAGACACACAGCACATGATTAGAACATTACCAAGTAACAAATAACTTGTGATTCAGAAGTTTCACCACCAGCTACAGCTAGGAGCGCATTCTGTTTAATGTATTTTTTTTAAAATGTCTTTTACATGCCAGTGGCATACTGGGCATATGAGGTTAAAACAGGGCTGTGACTGCAGTCAAGCTAATACCAAGAAATTAATCCACTGAACTGTAATAAAAAGCTTCACGCCTTTGTACTGTTGTGTAGTTAGTTCATATTGAGAAAGGCCCCATCCGAAACATTGATTAGTGGGTTTTGTGCACGCTGTTCTGTTTCCCCATTTCGTGTAGCTTTTTAGTAAATGTTTACTGAATTAATTTCTGTGATTATTAGGCTAAGCTCATTTTCGGCCTTCGTTGCTAATGTAGTCAATATAATTCCAGCCACCTTTATGTCCCAGGACTTTATACCCGGTAACTATTTAAAGTTTGGTCAATCTGGGAACCAAAGTCATGCGTGAAATAAAAATCCAGCTACAACTCATATATAACCTCACAAAAGTAATAATTTAGGAAAGAAAATATAAAAGCGATAAGATTATGATAAATTATTTAAAAAATTGAAAGATGCCTAAAGAACAATACTGTAATACAGGAGCCTCTGTGGCAAAGCAGTTAAGATGTTTGCCTTCTACTCTGAAGATTGGTTTCATGCTCGTTTAGCCACTTGGAATAAAACCTGACAAATTTTTCTTTTTCAGCGATCAATGTTTACGATGTGTCTAGTCCAATAGAGTTCATCAATATGATGGTTTGCCTTATTTCTTCACTGGTGCACCAGTTTCTCCTCTTCAGATGCTCATGTGGACTAGATTTCTTCTCTCTGGCTGTCCAATAAGACATGCTCTTAGTTTGCTTTGACGAACAATGACCATATGCAGATTTCAGCAAGACCCATTCGATGTCTGGTGCAATAAAAATGATACTCCTGTGTTTAACCATGGTTTAAGTTCTTACTTCTAGTAAATTCAGCAGATAATAGAATCTATGAATTCGGTTAAAAGAAGACTATTTAACATATTAGATTTATATTTCTAGTGTTTGCCTGCCTCTAAGAAAATAAATCCACGAAAGCTCATAAGAAAAACATACCTATCTTATTCAGCACCAGAACTAGTCTTTTGTTTCCTGGTAAAGACCGAATAGTCTCCTCAACTTCCAGACACCGACTTCCAAGAGGATCCCGCGCATCAAGAACCTCCAAGACAACATCTGCTGCATCTATCACCTTGAAAAATCAAAAGAAAATGAGAAAACTCATTTTGTACAGGTTGCAATAAATTGCTCTATAAATTCTTCAGCTCAATCTATACCAGTGCACATAATGTTTTTAGTTATTTAACCATAAACATACATATTGTTAAGCATATATATTGTTAAATTTTTATCTTTAACAGATCCAGAACTCACAAGTAGGTTTTCCCCACTGAAGGGCTCGAGCACTGAACAGACTGTCATAGTATGCATTAAAATTAGATAAAAAAATCATTGAAATGAACTTGCCTTTTAATATTGCATTTGTAAACTATGAAACAGCATGTGTTAGCATTGATAAGGCACCTCTTTGAAAAATAATCAGACAGTTAGGGGCCCAATATAACAGATAAAAACATAAATAAAAACCAATAGAAAAGTGTGAAAAAAGTATCAGGAGTGCGATACAGATATTTTTCATCACCTCTATTATTCTCTAACAGACTGAATTATGAAGACATGGAAAACTACCATATGAAATCTTCTTCTTCTTCTTCGCGGTCACCAGCTGTAAACTCTGGCGGAAAGTTCTGTTCATCCACTTCTGGACTGCAGTCCCATTCCAAAACTTGAGTGTTGCGTGTGCATCCGTTTTACAGATGACTCATTTGTGTGACTGCTGGTTCCTTGCCTCTCAGGCAGATGCACTCCGACTTCGAAGGAAGCTCCCAATTAGTCCCCATATGAAATGTTATTCAAAAGACTCAAGCCAGAGCAATAAGACAGTCTAACACAAAATAAGATGCAAGAATTAATAAATATGACGGGAAGCCAAAAAATAATGAAAATAAATGATAACCCTATTTATTTATTTTTGAAAACTCACTGCAAGATATGGAAACATAATCTACTTAGATAATTGTATGTATAAAATAAGGAAACAAGCACTTCATATGCGCACAGGTGTTTATACGTAATTCAGGCTCAACTGACATCCGTCTTATCTTTTTTGTAAACCCTGAGCAGAGGGAATATGAGTCCATAAAAACCAGCAATTCTTTAAAACAAAAAACCACAAATGGACACTCTTCTAATGTTTATACTTCACCCTGATATTGCAAAAAGAACAAGATAGGATTTTTCTTTGGTACTTACCTTTTTGAATTCCTTGTAAAATGTTTTTCTTGAATTTTCTGTTACTTTACCAGCACTCTTCAACTGTTCTGGTTTTTCACTATCATGGTGCTGAAAGAAAGTTTTAAATAAAAAATTACATACTGATTTTAAAAAAGCTGTCAGAAAGAAGCAGAAAACATGCACTAAACAGTGAAATTCTATGTCAGTGTGATAAAGACTATTGCTTTAAGTGTGATGTGTGTTTTGCTATAAAAAAAAAAATAAAAAAAATTGTTTAGTTTTGCTGTAACATGCTTTTGTCAAAAGCATGTCCTCTGCATAAATCTTACCAGCATTAACCTAAATTAGGGACTTCACCTCTTCCTAAACATGGGACTCAACCTCCTTCACAGCTTTACACTTAACCTAAACAGCTATCTTCTTATGTGAACTATTTATCTTTAAACCTTTATGGCCTACTAAAAGCACTATCAGAATTGGCAAAATGGTTTAAGAGCTATTCACGAAAGATATTTTCACGCATGAGGGGAGGAATCAAATATCTTTCTGTGGGAAAGAACAGTTTGCGATCCGTTGCTTATGGCAGCAAATAATGTAAGTCATCAATCATCTTCTCTTATGGTGGGCTCTTGCTTTCATTTCAGATCTCATGTATAGCACCTGAGTCGGTAGTTGTTCTGGCTGCATTCTTATTAGATAACCAATTCATTTCATCTTCTGTTTCTCAATGAATACACTACATGTTGTTCATATTCTAACGGTATCAATTCTAACTTTGCCTGGATGGTTAAGTTGACGGCATTTCCAGGGCTTCTCATGTCACAGGTCTTTAATTTACCAGGTAAGCCTTTGATAATAACCAAGTCTGGCACTGGTAGGTATGAGGATACTGTTTATTATCTGTTTATTGGCGCTAATACTTATGTTTGGATGTCTTAAAACTGAGGTCAGTTGGTATATGACTGCACTGGCTCTTAGGAATTTGTTTGCCATTTCTTGATCTATTCTCCTGTCACAAAGATACAAATCTGCAATGCCATTCTACTCTACCAGTGTTGATCATGTGTAGACGTTACCTGTTTATCATAGACTGCCTGGCGCTTCTCGGCATCTTTCATTACGCTGACAAGATCTCTTTTCTGATTCTGAAGGCGTTCTCTTGCCTTCATTCTTGCTGCTTTTTTCTTTTCTCTCTCTTGGTCTCTCTGGAATGATAAACATTTCACTGAGATAAACAATACAACAAAATACAGGAAACAGTGTTCATGGCACTGCCCAAAAAAATTTCAAAAGTTTCCAACAACAGAAGCCAGTAATATTTCCAAAGATTTTTAAATTACAATGATATATAAAAATGTGAAAAAATGACATTTATAAAAGAAAACAATATCTACACAAAAGACGATCAAACAGTAAACAACAAAAAAATGACAATAAAATAGAGTAATTCCCTTATTGTGTTACATAAGTAGACTGGAAAAAAAATTAGGTGGCTTAATCTGTATGACAATAGCATGGAGCAAGATCACCAATAGGCTGAGATGTACGAAGATATATGCTCGCCCCAGAGTGTGAATTTTCCCAAAATGTATAGTAAAATGCTTTTTCAAAAAAAGATGTCTTGGACTTTTCCCCATGGGAAGATCCCAATGGTAGTGTATTACTGAACATGGGCTGCACTGAAAGAAACTAGAAGTACACAGCAATTCCAGTCACTTCTTCTTCTCTTTCCCCAGCTACTTCACTGAATTGTCTCTTGTGTGGTGTTTTTTTTTCTGTGCAATGGTCTACAAAACAAATATGATAAAAGCATCTGTGCTCATCTATGCTGCCATCAGAACATATGATGCACAGGTTGGAAACAGACAATCTATACACACACACACACACAGGTGAACAATTATCCTGTAAGGATAATATAGCAATTGAGTTGTACATTAGGATAACGTTTGGTATAGTCCTAAGGTCCAAAATTTAAATAATATCCATTATGCATAAACTAAATTAACAGGGAAGAACAAAGAAACCATTTGTAGGCCTCAAAATAAGTATAAAAGCATGTTGCATCTGTGAATACAGAGCAGACAGACACCCCTGTCCTGCAGGACTGCCCTAACTACTCCCGGCAGAGGTTAGGGATCTGGTCCAATTGAGCTACATTACAAAACAAGCTGTAGTGCACCAGCAGTAACCTTAGATGCACAGCCCTGAATGTTTAGTTTGGCTGATTTCGAGCACAAAAAAAGAAAATATCCCTCTTATATAGTTGAATAAGACAGCTGTGGAAGGGGAGAGGGGGGGGGGGGGGGGCTGGTTCAGGTCAATGCTGCGAGGCAAACCTACTGACAGCAGTGTTGGGGCAGAATATGAAAAACTGAGCAGCTCACCTTTTCTTTGTAAGCTGCAGCTTCCTTGAGAATCTCCTCTTTGAATGGCAAGTTATTGGGGATACCTGGATCTTTTGGTTTACCTGTCAATGCACCAATTTAAAAAAAGTCTTAAATGGTAAGTATAGAGAAACTATCATCATTTAATATTTATACTTTTAAGAAGATTAATATTTAAAAAGTGTTGGAAAGTAAAACAGAAAGGAGCAAAGAGAACCCAATCAACAAGTAGCAAGTAAAGGAAAGGGTCCTATGCATACCTTCGGTGCGGTGGGCATATAGTACTTGCTTGATGTGGTCAACATTGTGCTGGCCACCTTTACTTCCCATGAGATTTACTCAGCACCCTTTTTAGTCTGCAGAAACCTGGGAGTCAAGATCAAATTTAAAGAGAAAAATCCTTTTTGGTGTAGATTTGAACCCAGGCCTTCAGCAGGCAGGTGAGCATCATGCCACTTTTATACTGCGAACTACATTCTTCTTCTTTGTTCACCGGCTGTAAATTCCGGCGGAAGGTCCCAGTTAATAGTCCGCTTGGACTTTTGGCTTTTACCTGGACCTGAGTTTTGCGTGTACAACCGTTTTGCTGTTCCCTGCCTCATGGGCAGATGTACTCCGACTTCGACGTCAGGTCTATTTCTAGGATGACTGTGGCCATTGTTTAGTGTAGGTCGAGACGTTGCCTGATTTGTGTGGTGTCCTCTTTGTCGCCTTCTCCGCAGGTATTGCCCCCGGAGTACCCCTTTGGGGCAGTCCCTTGTGGAACGGTTGGCCCTCAAGGGAAGGCAGGGGTAGATCATCCAAGGAGGCTTCCATGTATGCAGAGCCGGCACATGGCGCTCTGGTTCTGGGCTCACCCAAGGAATCGTCACGTCTTGCACATGCCTGCTTAACCTCACAACCGTATTGGGCCTCTCGCTCGACAAGGGCTGCGCCCTTGCGACCTACATTAACAAGTAGTGCTTCACTAAAAATTTGATTCATAATTACTACAAATTATAAAAGGGTCTATTCTGTAACACAGAAATATAGGCAGTGGTTGAAATGTATTAAGACATGAACGTCAAACTGGTATGAACTGTAGTCCTCTACACATTCACTAATTTCTTCACATGCACGATGCATGGCCACCACTGACACATACATTTACTGTCCTTGCCCAGCAGTGGGAGTATGGCCCATCCACCATACACACAAAACTTTGCACCAAATGACTTTCTTTCTGTTTCCAAGCATAAAGAAACAGATTCATGAACATTTTTCAAACACCCCAAGAATCGATTACCAAAATAAAGAAATGGTTCTAGGTCCATGTAGTCCAAAAACTGTGTTCACAGTTTTTAAATTACGAGAGGAATTTCAAAAGAAAAGAAATTAAGAAAAAGGTTCTCACCTCTCTTGGGTTTCTTTTTAGCTTCTTTATTTAGTTTCCTTTTATGTTCACGGACCTGAAACAGCAATTTAATCATTTTAAAATCTGGCACAGCACAAACATGCCACAGAGCAGGACGAAGACAATTGCTGTGACAAATATAGTTTTCCAACATACTTTTTAACCAGGGTAATGCTGTCTTAATTCCAAGAAATAAATTTTTAAAAAAAAATCAACAAAATTTATTGGGTAGGTGCATTTTATACTTTTTCTTCTGTCTATTTTTTTAATAATGCAGGCCACTTACACTCTACCACCCTTGCCAAATCCTGTGTAACTTTGTTCGTGGTTGGGTTTTGTAGCAGAGGTTTTGCTACAGGGTCAAGGAACCAGTACCACATTAACAATCCTTAGGTGCATTTATGACAATATTGTGAATATTACTGTTTCCCTTACGGGTTCTGGTTACATCAGGTTCAAAATTTGACCCACAGATAATTATAGCAGCTTTCTTCTAGCATATTTCAGCCCTGATGCATCTTATGAGCAGAAGGGCATCCAGTCATTACTTGTGTCCGGCTCTTCATAAAAGAACAGTAAGTATTAAAGCTTACCAACATATGCATCATAGTGCCATACATGATGCTTACCTTGCTCTCACCTGTGTTCTAAACTTATGTTTATCTGAAAGCTGTCCCAATGGCTTTAGAACAAAGAACAAAAGCATAAAGGAAACATCAACAGGTGTCACAGAATAAAGCAAAGGATTTACTTCAAATGAATTACGCGCCACAGGTTGGTCAGAAAAAGTCACCATAGGTATTTAGGCAAGTATCTTATTGCTTAGGTAAGTTGTGAATGTTGTCCACAAAATAAGATTGTGGGTGCTCATTGAACCAAGTAAGTAATAACTGTTGTTAATACACCTTCCGATATTACAAATTCATATAAACAACAGGTACTTATCATGAACTAGCCTAGGTGCTCCTTCCCCTTCCATTCATGCGGCAGCTGGTCACATAGCCTGCCATATGTTGCTGGGGTGTCAATTATTTTCAACAGTTCAACGGTTGTCTTTTATCTTGTGTTGTCAATGCTCACAAGCGTGATTATTTCCACGATGTGCTAATAATCCAGTGATACAGGAGTATGGCAACTACGAGATTTCTGTACTCATATGTTCCTTGTCTGTGGCTTCTTTTTTAAGCCCTGCAACTCCTTAAAGAGATTCTCGACATCTCATTCTCATAAAACCCCCACATCAAAAGACAGGCAGTGCGACCAGTTGCGGTAGAAATGGAAGGGGAAGGAACTTTTGCCATGCAGGCATGTTTATGGTAAGTTCCAAACAACATTTTCAATTATTCCAACTGACATGAAATTCTTTCGATAAATGATAGGATCATGGTCAACGCACTTAATTACAGATGGTGCAGCCCAAAAAGGTTTAAATCGAATGCTCTTAATTTGCCAAATACACCATCATCCCAACATCATGTGTGATGATTACCTCGTTCCTGTGTTCTGTTGTATACTTATCCATATGTGTATTATTACTACTGTGGTGCGCCATCCATCTGACCCAAACAACAGCACCGTGTTTTTATTAAACCTTATCAGTCCTTGATGCTGCAACCACTCCAAGGTAGCTTTACTGATTGTTTTCAAGAGGACTGGTTATATTACAAAACTAATAAACATATCAGAGATAAAATATACAAATTTGGAGGACATCAGGGATCTCTCTTGGCAGTGGTGAGATATGATTTAACTGCTAAGACTTTGCATCAAGGAACACTGGGGTGCTCGGGTTGGGGAAAGGTTCAAGAAGAAGAGGAGGGCAAAGAAGAACCTGAAATGACAACATTGAGAAATGAAAAGGACTAAGTTATTATACACTTATTCATCAAGCAGAAGACAGAGAAAGGTGGTGGGTTTTATGTGCCAGTGCTTCCACTGATACACAACGGTCATGGCTCAGCCTCAAAGGCAGTACAGGCATGCTTCGTCAAGTTAGTGTCAGAGATTCATCACTATCCACTACCTCAGTCCACACAATGTTGATTATATTGGCTCTGTCCGTGCTTCTTGCAACATGTACTGGTGCAATGAACAGCACTGCTTGTCAGTTGGTCTGCTCCATCTAACCTTTTATGCTGGTATGACCAGGTGTGTATGTGATGGTGGTTAATGCAATTTCTGAATGCTGTCTACACATTCAGAGCATACCCTGTCGTATTCTACTTATTGCAATTTTTATAAATAGTATTAACACTAAAACACACCGATTAAATGCTTACCTTTCTCTCAACTTTAACTCTGTGCTTTGTTGACTGCCGCTTGCTTTTCTTTTCTGTAACATTTAAAACGGGAAACTGTTACAAAATAACTAACTGGGAAAAGGGGAAGATTAATTTGAATAGTATAAAATAATTGTATCATATTGGTTTTAGAACAACTTTATTGCCAGGACCAATGCTGGATTAAACTTGATTAAAATAGTCGAAAAGAGGTAAATTTTACTGAGAAGACAATTTCTAGCCTCGAAGACAAATAAGCAGTTGCTGTGCTTTTAATGTGGTTAAAGTATTTCATTTCAATTAATTGTCTTTTTTATTTCTTTCAGTATTTCATTTCTCGTGTTTCCAGAACCCCTGTATCGGAGAGTTTTTATTTCCAACCACACTACAACACGAACTAGACAGACTTAGTGAGTGGTGCCAGGAATCAAGAGCTCAGGTGAACCCGTCCAAAGCCTCCTTAACATGGTTCTCTCTGAATACCCACATCGTTAGTACACCAACACCAGTCGTAAGCATCTGTGGTGTGGACATCGAGAGAACGGACACCATGAAATACCTGGGCATGACATTTGACAGATGCTTGTCATACAAATGCCACGTAGACAACGTCATACTTAGAGCCAGGAAAGGTTTGACAGCACTCAAGGTGCTAGCAGCAGCTAATATTGAACAATGTCTACTTTTCCTTCTCTATCAAGGGCTTGTGTTTAGCATCATTGACTATGGTCTCGGCCTCCTCACTGTCAGCAAAACCCTGCTAGAAAGACTGAACCGGGTACAGAATGAGGCCATAAGACTCATACTCGGCTGCACAAAAGACACCTCCTGCAACGCCATGCGTTATATCCTGGGTCTGCCGACTATGACTAGCAGATACAAAGTGGCACAGGTCAAGGCTTACATGATGGTATCCGCAGACGTTAACCACCCATTACACAAAGCTATTCACGACACAAAAGGAACGCGTCTCAAAGAGGCCGCTCTTGGATGGCAAAAGCTGAGGATTTAATCCAGCAGGTTTGTGACCTAGACGTGATCAGCCACGGACAAAAATGGACGAATACACCAGTAGTGCAGTAGACATGCATGGCATCTCTAAGGTTGTCATCACACTCGGAAGGTACTGCAGGGATCTAATTCCTGCGGCCGTAGACACAGAAGTAAGGGAACTGATAGATCAGCATTCAGACCCAGAAGATACCATCATCTACACAGATGGATCTGTAAAGCGCGGATCAAGGTCAGCATAGGCATACACAGCGCAAAGAAAGGGGAAAACAATACATGAGGACAGCGGCGCTTACCAGTCAACCACGTCAAGCATGACAATGGAAATAACCTCTGCTTCTAGAGCTTTAGCATGGGTATCCGAGCAAACTGCCACACAGGCAGTAATTGTCTCAGACTCAATGAATATGCTTCAGAAGATAGCAACAGGCAGTATGCGCTCTGAATGGATAGAAAGCATTTGGAAATCGCACTTAACCTTCGTAACCTGGATCTACACCCAGGGTCATGCGGGCATGAAGGGAAATGAGCGAGCAGACCAACTGGCAAGCACTGCACTAATGATTGCGGGAAAAAGTGTGGACAGAGCAGATATAGTCAACGCTGTATGAACTGGGCTAGTGGAGAATGAGGAATCCCTGACACTAACACGATTGCGTGACATGGGAGTTAGGCATGGTAATGCACGTCTATGCCGTCTTCGAGGCCGAGAAAGGAGACAATATAACCAGCTTCTCATGGGGACAATTAGTAGAAGTACTTTGGAGTGGCTGCTGCTTCGGAGAACTGAGCACGCATGGGTATGCTCAATGTGCAGTGACATTAATTGTGATAACAAAACATAAAATAACATCTTAGTGTAGGGAGTCGGCAGTACGAAACCCAAGTTCAAGGTGTCTCCTTCATGCCAAAGAACTGCATGGCTGTTGGGTGAACAGTCATTAACGATGGCAAGCAGGTCGTTGTAGGGTCAACGCCTGCAGGTGAATCTAATGTCCTAAGTCCCTTACCCAGCTAATAATGAGGGTACTGCTGGGGTGACCGTTTATTAACCCTCATATAATTCTTCCGGTCAAAATGGATGCTAGGCACGGCCACCTTTTTTTTTTTAAAGCCGTGGCAAATGTTTTTTTTGGGCCAGACGGTGGCCGTTGCATTTTTGCTCCATTTGTAAACTGGAAGGATGTAGTTTCGTCGCCCAGCTTCTGAGTTGAGTGCATGGCGTGACACTGAGCTGCGTGTGTTTTTTCGTTGGCACAGGAGCGGAGCATCTGTGGGGTGACCCGTTTGCTATGAAGCTGAAACTAGGATTACCAGATTACCAGTTTTTATTTCAATGAAATATGACCTATTCTGTATAATCACATCTCCAGTTCTCCAGTTTGTTTATTGTCTACGTCTGCACCATACTGATGATTAGATGATACAGCAGGACTGAGTATACATAATAATATTTAAGGATTCTGATTCATATTTTTTAATGTGTTGTTAACTTGTTTGAGACATCAGTAACCTGTCTGCAATTTTTTATAACAACTGGGTTGTGGTCAGAGTTTACGTCGGCACAAGGATATGCTCTGAAATTCACTTTATTCACATCACTTTTTGTTTTCACATCTGGTCAAAGTAAGATGGCAGTTTTAATTCAGGTTTAATTTACTTGAAACTTTTAGTTCAAATGGGAAGTGTTGGTATATAGTATGAAATCCCTACAAGTGCGTTTTATCAGTATATAATATACTGATAAAACGCACTTGTAGGGATTTCATAAGTAAAAATGATAACAACTTTATCAAATTATGTATTCGTTAATTATTATTATCAATCGAATAATCATTATTAAAATCTAAAAAAGGAATCGCACTAAACTAAGTCAAATCAAATTGGACGCATCTTCATCTACTTCTTAGTTTCTACTTCTACACAGTCAAATCCATTCTTAGTAAGGAAAGCCCCAGAGAGCTAACAGCGGTCTGATGTCCATCAAACAAAATTAATAAGCCCATGTAAACTACTAATCATATAAAATATTCTTACTTATTTTCACCATTGTATGTGTTTCACAATACAACAAACAAGCACTTGAGTAGAAACCCACGAGTCAGAGATAACAAACTTGTGAAAATGACCAAAGCGGAAGTGTCCACCACGCTTGTTGATGTTTTCTTTCCGGTGTCGACTGAAATTCCGCACCAGTGGTTTATGAACGAAAAGATATTTACTTGCTAGAAGAGAAGGGTGGAAGATACCAGTAAACTAATAAAAGTAATATCTACTGAAATGGTTGCGTTCAGAGGCAGACATTTAATCAGGATGCATTATGTACTATTAGCATGTCAACTCTTCGTTCTTTACTAGAAAAGGGGACTAAGCACGTGTGGAAATGTCCTAAGTGCAGCGATGTCAAGCCTTGGTTCATTCGTGTATAGAGGCAGTCAAAGAGAGATAATAGTGGATGGCTTAAGTCAATGGAATGGAGGAATCGCATCAGTGGAATTGATCCAGAACACCGAAGACCGATATATGTGGAGTTGCATGAATGCATACACCATCTGACAAGTCACTTGATGATGATGATACGAGAAAGAATAGACTCAAGAACTTGATAACGACTGTCAAGGCTGACAGCAAAAGAAAAGAGGTGGGTAGGGGAGAAATACCAGGCATGGCTTAATTTTGAAGGACCAGACAATAACACTGACCTGATCCGCAATTCTAGTGATCGTGGAAGATTAGGAAATAATAATATTAACTATTATGCCCCTTATTTGCACTGTAGATGATGATGATGATCATCATGAAATCTTACAAAAATAAATTCCTCGTCTTCGTGTTCACCGACTGTAAACTCTGGCGGTAAGTTCTGGTTGTTCATCCACTTCTGGATTTTTGTCTTGTTCCAGAATTTTGCAGGCACATCCATTTTTTTTTGGGGGGGGGGGGGTAGATCTTGCTTATTTGTAAGCAGGCACTTGTTCATTGTTTCTCAAGTAGATGCATTTCGACTTCTGGATGTATCGGCCAAAAGGTGCGAATAGCGCAGCCATGCTGTAAACAATTTTTGTATAAATCCCGAAGAAAAATCCCTAACTGCTCAGTTCAAAAACGGATACAGAAGAGCAGAGAAGTTCATTGATTTCTTCAGTTCTGTATTTGCCTCTTGTGTAATTCACTCCATTTAAGTAATGAAGAGCAATGATAAGAGGACACATACATGTCTGATATCTGATGAGATGTGGAACCAAAGAACCAACCTGTCGTTCCTTCTGTTGTTCTTACTGTGCACTGACTATCTTGATAAAGAGCCACGATGTTACCCAGCAGTTGATCTTGAATACCATAATCCGACTCACTAACGTTCTACCCCACCAGGACATCACACAAGCGATAAACACCTGATGACACAAAATGCCACCATGTGGATGAGGATCACCGTGGAGAGGTCACAGAAACCGCGCTCAGCCATATTTAGGCACATTGAGTCATCGGGTGTTTATCGCTTGTGTGATGTCCTGGTTGGGTATAAAGTCAGTCAGTATATAAAGGACAGTCCAAGATTTAAAAGTGCCTTATTTGCATATAGGTGGCAAGATATGTGCAAGTCTATCACCAGAGGGGTGGGAGCTGTCATGCGACAATAAATATTAAATGTAATAAACAAACAGACAGGGTTTTGATTGGCACTTGTAGAAAGAAGTAGAAAGATAGAAAAACACACTAGACAACATAAAAAGAGAAAGCTATAGTTACATTGCCGGAAATTGAACCCGTCACCTCCAAATGGCGTGTGCGCCTCGATTTAGAAACAAGTGCACTAAGAGCATGGTCAACTAGGCACCCCCGCCCCCCCCCCCCCCTCGAAAAAAAGGTGTCCTCATTGGCCGTATCTATCGTACATCTTGAAATCCACCTCTATCTAATAGAAAAGAATTCATCTCAAACCATTTAAATGGCACCATAGGTTACAGAAATTATAATTAAAGAAGCATAGGTCGAATAACAAACACAGCAACGATTTTCAAACACAGTATACAGCAATGCTTTGTCTGGAATGCACAAACACTTAAGAAAAGTATTTGATTAGAAAGTTGCATTGTGTATACGTCATTCGTATAAATAAACAGAGGTAAAAAGGTGTCTTTATTCGCCATGTCTATCGTATAAGTAAACAGAGGGGAAACCCTTGAGGTTGTATAAATATTATATGTAATAAACAAACAAACAAACAAACAAACAATGTATTGATTGGTACTCATAGAAATGAGTGGAAGGATAGATAAACACACTAGACAACATTAAAATCGAAAGCTGTAGTTACCTTGCCAGGAATCGAACGCGTCACCTCCAAAAAGAGTGTGCGGCTCGCTATGGAAACAAGTGCACAAAGAACATGGTCAACCACCCCCTCTCCCCCCCCCCCTTTTCCAAAGGTGTCTTTATTCGTCATGTCTATCGCACAGCTTGAAATATACCCAAAACTACAGAGACTGTCCAATTACTTTCAGGACATACCCTGTATGAGCATGTCAATTCTTCGTTGGTTAATGAAGAAGGGCACGGAGCACGTATAGGAATGTCCCGAGTGCAGTAATGTCAATTCATTCAAGCATTGATTGACTAATTCATTTATTCATTCATTCACAACACGGTTGAGTATTCATAACATTTGATGAATCTAATTTGTAATCCTTGACAGGTAGTATACGCTCTGAAAGGGTAAAAAGCATTCGGAAGTCGCAGTTAACCTCTATCACCTGGATCTACTGGTAATCTGGTAATCTTAGTTTAGCTTCATAGCAAACGGGTTACTCCATAGTTGCTCCGCTCCTGTGCCAACAAAAAACACACACAGAATGTGAGCCTTCGCTCTTTGTGTTGTCTAGTGTGTTCTTCTATCTTTCTGTGTATGAGGATCACAGTGGAGAGGTCATAGAAACCTCGTTCAGCCATTAGGCCATATTTATGGCTGGGCTATATTGCGGCCACTGGCAAGAGCCAGAGTAGGGCTTCAAATAACGAAAAATTTCATCCTAAAAAGGACGGGAAGTGATGTACCATAATCCTCCGCTATTTTCCATAGTCTGAATCGGCTGACTCGGTCGAAAGCTTTCTCTTGATCTCTTAATACAAGGTGCTGCCTTTTATCATATTCAATAGGTTGCTCATATATCTGATTATATATCTGATTCAGTGAAAATATAGCATCTGTGCAGCTCTTTCCTCTACTGAAACAGAACGGTCTTTTACTTAAATGGGATTCTATTACTGGTTGGGCTCTTAATTCCAGCATCTTTGCAAACATCTTTGCAAGTGGCTCAAGATGGAAACGCCCCTGTATGTTTCACAGTTTCGTTTGTCTCCTTTTTTTTTCCAAATGGCGTCATTGATTGCCCTCTCCGAGCCGTTTGAGACCTTTTGTGCCTTTCAAGGAATGTTAAAGATTCTAGTCAACCAAGCTGTTGCTGTTGTCCTATATGCAAGGAGGATTTCTGTTGTAATACCATCTATTCCCTTCTTCTTTTTACCTTGTTAAAGTGCCTTTTCGACTTCAGATTCCAATATTTTTGGCTCATGGTCTTTTGCAAAATGTTAAACTTTAATATTCGAAAAAAAACGCAGACTATGATAAATAACAATGGAAATGAGCGACCATCAGTCAATATCACATTAGAGATACTAGAACAAATAACACATTTCTCTTTTTTTCGACACAGAAGAACAGATGCTGACAATAGAGAAACAGAAATCAGAAAGAGAATAGGAATGGTTACAAGTGTCTTCAAAAAGATACGAAAAGTTTTGCCAGCTAGAAAGATAATACAACATTAATTTTTACTCCTGCATGCCCAGGTTAGTATATCCAGGTAATGGAGGTTAACTTCGACTTCCAAATGCTTTCTACCTATTCAGAGCGTAGACTACCTGTCAAGAATCTTCTCAAGCTGTCTTCCTTAGTCTCGCTTTACACAGATCTTTCCAGTAGTCACAACATGTTCCAGTTTCCCTCTTCTTTTAACACGGCCAAATAGTGATGACTGCCTCTTTCTAATATCTGTAACAGGGTTATCTTTGTTATCTAAGTTATCTTTGAGCACACGCCTATTTCACAATTTCTGGGCTGCCTTTTCATAGCTTTTCAAGGAATGTTAAGGATTGTTCTGTAAAACCACATTTTTTGAGGTCTCATATTGTTTGTATTAACCGTCCAGGATTCACAGCCGTATATTAAAACTGGCTATACATAACATGCGAGCATTTTGCCCCTTAGCTCAAATGACACTTATTTAATGCACAAAATGTTCTTCATTTTATAAATGACACCCACGGTGTCTCCTTTTTTGTTCTTTATCTATGTGACACATCTTCCGTCGGATGTTACCTATGTGCAAAGATATTGAAACGTCTTGACTTGTTTGTGTATAGTTTTTTTTTTTTTTTAATTGTTCATTTAGGCACAATTGTTTTCTTGGAAATCACCATCACTGTTGTATTCCCATTATTCAAACTGAGTGCTATTTTACCACTTTCCACCACCAACGTATCTATCAATTCCTGTAGTTCTTACTGACTTGTCATCAGCATAACGCAGGTTGTTTATATTATGAGCACCATCTAAAAGTCGAAGCATATCAGTAATAGATCTCCTTATATATTCACTGCATAATGAAAGCAAACCGGGTAAAGGTACACATCCTTGTCTTTAGAATACTGAATACTAGTTTTGCTCTACAGACATATTTGACATCATAATTGTTAAATGGAGGGGATAGCGCGAACGCAGTCCCCCTTACGAAAAAATTACGCACTCGAGTCACCCACATTTGGGGTGATCGCAGGCGTCAACCCAACCGAAGTGCAATGGTAGGGCCTCATCCTGGGAGCACGACCTTGATGATCATTGTAGCTCCTGTGCCAGGTAAGTATGATCTATCGTTGTGCACATTTCACCCTAGGCGTTAATTGTAGCAAGATTATTAAAGTACGGCTGTATTGACTGCACACAATTAGTTATTCTTTCTAAATTATTACATTGCATAAATCATACTTTTTTTATTAGAAGTAGTAATTCAAATAAAAAAATTTAAATTTTTAGATTTGAGTATGGCGTTTCTCCTGTGATAACACAGAAGGAGATATTTTAAGTATTCTGCTAGAAGTTATCTCTCTTTGCTACAAAATAAAGAAATTGCTTCCCTTCAATTTTTCGAAATGTTTTGCACTCCAAAGAGATTGTATGTGCTTTCGCCAAAACACAATCAGCATTTCAAACGATGAACTTATTTTATGTAAATATCTTTGCCATTTAGTCAGATCTTTCTCGGATACAACATAGGAGAGAAGCAGATATCCTGGTGTATGGAAGTGAACCGTGAACAGTCAGCGGATTAGTGAGAAATTGTGATATTGATGGGTGGTATTAAAGAAGAATCGTACGTTATGTTATTTTATGTTATGACAACATATTCAATTCCTTACGTCCTTTTTAGGACGTATTTTTTTTTTGTTATTTGAAGCCCCACTCTGGCTTTTGCCAGAGGCCGCAATATAGGCAGGCCATAAATATGGCCAATTGTCTGAACGCGGTTTCTAGGACCTCTCTACGGTAATCCTCATCCACATGGTGGCACTTTGTGTCATCGGGTGTTTATCGCTTGTGTGATGTCCTAGTGGGGTAGAAAGTCAAGTCAGGTTATGACAACATAATGATCTATTATTGATACTTCCCGTCCTTTTTAGGATGAAATTTTTTGTTATTTGAAGCCCCACCCTGGCTCTTGCCAGGGGCCGCAATATAGCCAGGCCATAAATATGGCCGACTCGCTGAACGCGGTTTCTGTAACCTCTTCACGATGATCCTCATCCACATGGTGGCACATTGTGTCATCGGGTGTTTATCGCTTGTGTGATGTCCTGGTGGGGTATAAAGTCAGTCAATAAGTAAGAAAAAACTCCACAGGGGAGCATGTACAGCAGGAGTCTACCAATCATCAGTAGAAATAACCTCTCGTCGACAAATGTTTCGGCCCACGCGCTCCTAGACATTTTCAGAGAGTGGGCCTACCCGAGTTCACGAGGCTCAGGGTTGGTCTCTCCTGCTGCTCGTATTACCGGATGTTATCGGACAGGAACAAGACGAATTAGTGACTTTGCAAAAGGTACTGTGAGATATGAAGTCGTCGCGGTAGCATAATTCGAGCAGTCAGCTTACCTGGACGACCAAGTGGCAAGCTTACGTTTGGTTTACCAGACACATGTTGGACTTTGTTAGCAGGTGGCAGAGTGACACTGGCAGACAATTCGTACACGATGGACTTTAAGGGATAAGAAAGTCTTTTCCACTAGACACCCGGACCAGATCACAGAGGCCCGTCCCCCACGACGTTCCGTTGTGTCCAGAGCCAGCTCGAGGTCCTCTCAGCAACCTCGCCCAGCTGTTTGATTGTACGTTTGCGTTCATTACCTCGTAGGCCTAGTTGTTTAATCACACTATAAAGCGAAGTGGAAACGAGACCTCTACGCCTACCTCGAAGGCGAAGACTCTTACTGTGTACGCTTAGTCCCTCCTCAGACCAGCCACTAAGTCACTGTATGTCACGAACTTATACATATGGCACGGTCAGCTCAATCAGGATGAGCTGATGTTTCTCCGCAGAGTGGAGAACTATGTCAGGTCGCAGGCCGGTCTTCCGGATTAACTCAGGGTACTTTTCATGGCCAGGCAGGTCAACGGTCAGTAACCAGTCCTTTGCACAATCTAAAATCGATAGAGCGTATGCGACTTTGCTGAATTTACCTTTCTGAATCTGCCCAGCCTTTAAGAAGCGTACGGGGACGACGGCAGGACTGGCCCTCGCATTGGCCCTCATCCTAGCTTGGTCCACAACTGCTGCTAACTCTTTCAGCACCTTGTTGTGGCGTCAAGTATACCTGCCTTGACCTAGGGCTTTTCTGCACGCGGACAGTACGTGTTCTAGCGTTTGTTTCGCTCTTCATAGAGGGCATGTCAGGTCGTTAGCCGCACTCCACTTTACCATGTTGACACCGGACGGTAATACATCGTAGGCAGAACGAACGATAAAGCTCAGTCGCAGCGGGGCCATTCGCCATATCTCAGCCCATGTGAGTACTCTTGGCAAAGCGCTCTCTAAGCTAATCCACTGACCCTGCTGAGACTATCGGGCTGCTTTCTGAACCCTAACCTCGTTTTCGTTATCTCTGATACGCTGTATCACCATGTCTCGGCGCTCTTTGGCTGTGGTTTTGGACCACCAACTGACTTTCCCGTGACCTAGGCCTCGACGGTCGGTTTGAGTGTAACCCATAATTTTTTTTATTTTAGTGCTTTCTGGGCTCACGCAAGAGCATGGCGAGTCTTACTTTGCCGACTTTAAACTCTTCGGTTATTGATTTGAACGGGAGTACCAGCTTAGCCTGCTTAAAATACAGAGCCACATCAGTCAGACAAGGTGGTGCTCCCAACCACTTCCTTATGGCTGTGTTGATTTTACACTCCATCGTCTCCACTGCAGTCATCG